CACGGAGACTCTTATGTAAATAATGTAAATATGTACTACACAAACATTTTTTCAGGTATAACATACATTCATAAAATTATTTTATATAACATTAATTGTGGTAAATACATTTAATAGGTTTGGTCAACAGTGCTCGCTGTTAATTACCAAAAAAAATTAAAGTACATATTTTTGAAAATGAATTATAAGGTTTTTATAAAGTTAAATAATTTATAAACGGCTTTCCTGGCCAAAATAGGCAGATAGATAAATAGATTTTCGGTGTTAGGGAAATGGACTGTTTTATTTATTTGTTAGTTAACAACGATCAGTTTTAAATTTGTGTTTTTAAAAATCTATAAATTTAATTTTTAAGTATTTTTTATGAACATTTAACATAGTCAAGGGGTCTGCGGTAAATCAGTAAGTATATTCCGCGTCAATACAATCAACTTTTGGATAGACTTAATAACTGTCAGTCAGTCTGGGCGGGTAGTACCGTTTCAAAAATGGTGTCCTCAATATTCCACTGGAACTTAAGATTTGCATGGTATTACTGTTGGATCGATGGAATTTAGCAGGAGTTTGGTGGAAGACTGAACAATCTAAATTTCCCCAGTCAGATTTCAGCATGCGAAGAAGCGTAATCGTTTTGCCGGAACAGGAGAACGTGCATTTGAATAATAAGTATATAATGCGAAGTAACGGGTAAGTAACCACTAGCCGATATGTATAGTATTTTCTTCGAACTATTAATTAGTTCAAATAAGTTGTAGGTCCGGAATTAACTCGAGTCGAACTTTATAGTAGAATGTGTTTCTTTCCAAATATTTTACAAGCAAGTGCCGAGTTAACTCCGTACCCTATAGTGCTCGATTCGGGATAAAACAGTACTTTGAAAACATATAAACAAGAAACCACCCTTATTGATAATATAATATGTACTTGTTTCATTCATCATTCATTTAAACAATTAATAACTTATTGCCTATTGTTAAATTTCTTAGATACTACTAATCTCTGACGAACGGTTCGTCCGATGCGTTTCACTTGAACCAAAAAGCCCAAAACATCTGAACGATAATCGATCACCCCTCCTTCTCCTCTCAAGTCGAGCACTACGTGGATTAGGTCTATGTACGATGATGTCACTTAATCGTTTAGGTAAATCGCCAAATTTCCACAACATACCTAACCATTTTGGTCAATTTAACGCATATCTCAAATACATCAATAACATCTATATAATAACACTCTGTCTCACGTGAGAACGGTGCTGCGCTGAAACGCATTACAGACAGGAGTGACGCGTTTGGGTTTCTTTGAACCCATCAAGTGTATGGATTTTTTAAACTTTATTTTATAATCTTACTCCATACTTCATGCCAGCGTATAAGGGTTATAAGTCGAGAGGTCCCGGCATATGCTTTGTGGTGTGCGCGCTTCGTGGGGTACACTCCTGCAGGAACTCGTTTAGATTGACCTCTACGCATCTGCTTTAGGCTGTGCGCGATTCGTGTGGTACACTCATGTAAGAAACCCGTTTAGCTCAAAAGCCGGGCATATTGCTTTAGGTTGTCTGCGATTCGTGTAGTAGGGTACACTCTTGTTGGAACCCATTGATCTTGAACGTCTGGTGGGTATGTGCTTTAGGCTGTGCGCGATTCGTGCGGTGTACTCATGTATGAAACCCGTTTAGCTCAAACGCCGGGCATATGCTTAGGGCTGTTCGCGATTCATGGGGTACACTCCTGCAGGAACTCGTTTAGATTGACCTCTACGCATCTACTTTAGGCTGTGCGCGATTCGTGTGGTACACTCATGTAAGAAACCCGTTTAGCTCAAAAGCCGGGCATATGCTTTAGGTTGTCTGCGATTCGTGTGGTGTAGGTACACTCTTGTTGGAACCCGTTTATCTTGAACGCCTGGTGGGTATATGCTTTAGGCTGTACGCGATTCGTGTGGTATACTCATGTAAGAAACCCGTTTAGCTCAAACAGCGGGCATACGCTTTAGGCTGTTCGCGATTCATGTGGTACACTCTATGCAAGAACCCATTTAGCTTAAACGCCGGGCATATGCACGGCCGGCGTCCGATTATAGAACCAAACTACCCTGTAATGTAGGCCCATGACTTAGGGATGAATATCCAGGCCGCGATTGTAAAGTATTTCATCGGCGGTAAGAAATGGGCCTGGAATGGAGTATGGAATAATATTCTGGGCAAACGATTTATTTAGGTTTCTGCGCAATACCGTTCTACTGCGAGACTGAGTATACTTAATCGTTCTCTCTGCGTGTACAGAGATAACGATCGCAGTTATTCCAATGTAGATAACACTTTGATAACATTTTTTGAATAATATGACGTTTTGAACATGTAAAGTGTATAGATATTTTAAACTTTATTTTATATTCTTACTTCCCTACTTCATGCCAGCGTATAAGGGTTATAAGCCGAGAGGTCCCGGCATATGCTTTGTGCTGTTCGCGATTCGTGTGGTACACTCATGCAGGAACCCGTTTTGCTTGAACGCCGGAAATATGCACGGCTGGCGTCCGATTATAGAACCAAACTACGCTGGAATGCAGGCCCATGACTTAGGGATGAATATCCAGGCCGCGATTGTAATGTATTTCATCGGCGGTAGGAAATGGGCCTGGAATGGAGTACGGAATAATATTCCGGTCAAACGAATTATTTGCTTTAGACACAAACCGCAACATTGGAATAACTAAAAAGGGTGTTTTCTTTTTAATCATCTTTTAATTACAATTTTTTTCTTTTTAATCGACAATACTTTTAACGTCTTTGAGGCCTAAACATTTTTACACGCGTTACTTAAGGGGTATTTTAGTATAAGCGCACAATTTGCGAAACATCATCATACACGGAGATACCACGTTAAAAAAAACGAGCCTGATACTCTACCTCACAGGTGGTTTGGAAAAGAGTATAAACGACACATTATATTTGATAAGTCTCAAAACCAATTTAAAAAAATAGTTTGAGATAAGATGTGGTATATTGTTATTTCATTGAAATAAATGCTGTGCTAGAGTTTATGAAGATCCTGTACAACCAAACCGCTAATGAGGAACGATGAATAAGGTACGGCTCCAACTACCTCAATGGTTAGCATTTAAAGACTATCGGTTGCCATGCTAACGTCATAACCAAAAAAAAAAAAACCTTATCAAATATCTGGGTTTAGAATATCGTGAAAAAAATCAAACCAGTTTACTTATATGCTAAGTGTTCCATTTTCGACAAGACAAGAAAAAATAATAAGATGGTCTTACTGTCATGCCGAAATTCGAAAAACAAATTTTCTGCCTGGGGGAACAAAAAAAAGTAAATAAATATACATTTAAATTTATAAACCGCTGTTGTACTGTGTCTAATAATACTATCTATAATTACATTGCTTATTATCTATTCCATTGCTAATACCTCATATGGCATAATATGTACGATTTTTTTTAATATAAAATGGTATGCCTTTTTTTTCTTTTCGCAGGTGTTTCAATTTTTAGTGAACATAAGTAATTATTACAACAAAGAGCTATTATTTGTTGTAAACAGTTTTCTAAAACATTTTTTTGTGATCACATTTCATCATTACTGATAATTCCTTATGTTTTCCCGCGTTAATTACCTACTGTATCTGGTAATGAAATAATCAATGGTCTTCTTGACGATAAAAATTAACGACACATTTCCTCAGGGTCAAGGGTTGGTTTTTAATGACATATTATTATTGCGTCAAAAATCAAACAAACCAATAATTATGTAAATAATTTGAGATTACCGAGTTTTATCATCATTCCAGTTTTGTGTGGGGCCTTGAATACACCAAATAATGGTTCTTTTACATTGTCACATCACAACCAGGTGTTTTTGGAACTAGACCAATTCATTGCGCTATGTGCAGACTGTGTAATGTTAACTGTAAAAAAATGGGTTAAAGAGATAAAGACAAGCTTGGCAAACGATGGAAAAGCATGTTCAAACTAGTATGTGAGCGTACTTGAAATTGCGCGTTGTGTCAATATTGAATATTAATTTTTTATATTTTGGAATCAATAAACGGGAAACTTAGGACGACACAATTGATAACATAACTGATAATGATTGATAACAGGTGTGCCAACGCGAGGGCTGTTAACCCGGTTCCGACGAACGGTGTGAATGTGTTCTATTTTAAACACAACGAATTGGGTAATTCCAGCGATGTAACTATTTATAACAAGCTTGTACACTATCACGCTGTATTGATTATTGGGCGGTTAAAAGTTTACAACCGTTAAATGTAATTTAAGGGTTGGATTGAAAAAAAAAAAATGATTTCTCAGAGACTAGCAAAATTAACTAAATATAGAGTTGTATGAAATTGTGTTTGACAAGATAAATTGATGCATAATAATAATAGTAATGCAAATAACATGAGACGTCATTGACGTCATTTGCAATTGCCCAAAAAATTAGATTGATCCTATTCGATTCGACGTAGGTAAAAGTGTATATTTGCCAATACTAAATAATAATAATACTCCCACGTGCATATTATGGTGTGACTAATAGCAGTCATTTAACCAGTGGCGCCGACATAGCTTGTTTGCATCTGTAATAATTATTGTGTGTATACACAAGTTTTATGTACATGTGTGAAATTCGGGTGCGGTGGCATTGTTCGTCAAAGGCTAGTGTCATTAAACTGTTTTCAATGTCGAACTACTGTTTTCGAGCCGTTGAGTCATTCACACTCACTTAGCGACAAAGGTAATGTATTAAACTGAACATCTGTCATTTCGAAAAGACATTTTTACGTTCGTGTATAGTTTTCTTTTGTTATTATTTAAATTTAAAAAATAAAAAAAACCCTAGTGGGCAGTCGTTTTGAAATTGAGTTATCACCGTGATCTGACTAATTGTACTTGATTTGTAAGTATGTCGAGTGACATCATACAAATACTACAATAAGTATACTTATACAAGTCCTGCCCAATCGTTACAACACACAAAAGTCAACCAATATTAGTCATCGACACACAATAAACTCCTATTTACAGAGATCAACACATGTATAAACAGACAACGTTGACGTAAATCAATTACAAAAAGGAAAAAAAGCTTAACGCTGATATTAAGTAGACCTAAATGGCGCAGAAGTGTCTCAGGTACTACTTGAGACGTTTTTCGGATATTTTTTTAATTATTTAGATTCCAAAACGTAGGGTGCCAGTTCAACGAATCAATATTTGAATACCAGTCTGGTTCGTGCATTCAAAAGAAAATACATGACTTAATAGCCAAGTGGAAAAAAGCCACTATAGGGAGACTTGCCAAGACTTAATACCATACTAAATATCAGTATAGCATCGTTTAGATAGCAACGGATGAAAAGCCAAAAAGTGAAGATGAAAATTACTTACAAAATTACTTTGCCAATTTTCATTAATAATAGTTGCAATAGATAATAATTTGTTTCAAATAAATTGTTTTGAAAAAAAAACTATTAATTCATAAAAAAGTATTTATATTTATTTTTAATATTCAGACTTTTCCTGAAATTGAAGCCAATGAAGTGATATGCAAATATTCAAAACGAGTGTAGAAGCAATATTAAAGAGGAACGACGAAGTCGTAGTAAATTAAATTTATAATGTTAAATTACTTTTTAGGGAAAAACAACATGTTACTAATTTGTAAGACAGTAAAAAGGAGAGGCGATGTTTAAAATTTGATATTGACTTTACAGAGAAAGTGTTTTAATTGCACCACTCAAATGGTGGTAGAAGAGATTAAAATCATATCAACGAATTAAAATTTGATTGTGACAAGGATTGAAGCAGACATATTGTTTCGTTGGCTATTTGTAGTGTTAATTTCAATAGTAAGAGTAGATCTAACACATGTAACACAGTAAACATATGTATAGCTGTAACATCATAATATAATGCCCTGTGCTCAGCAACTAAGCAATCAAGAAGGTAAGCATTATTTGTGTAGTTCATAGTTCATAGCACAGATTAGATAAAACCTGGCAGTGAACTTTGTCATTTACTGCTTACTGAACTCTGAAACCCTCCTAAACTTAGTAGTTAGTGTGACTACATTCTAGAAATGAAATTATCGTAGACAACATTTTACTCTAATAATATGTTATCAAATACAATTTCCATAACGCAACTGATAACAATCAATAAATTCAATGATGCACTGTTGAGGAGGATTTTGGTTTGTTTACATTTTCAGCAATTATATTTCTTCAATAGGGGGGGGGGGGGGTTGCATCATCTGGTTTTAGCTAATCTGTGGTAATAGTGTATGTGTTGACTTTTTCAGTCTCGACTCGCTTGAAATAAAAAGTGAAAAACGACATAAGAAAACGTTGGCAACACTTCTGCGCTGATGGTTTTACCGACCCCTAATAATATTTGAAAACGTAACGGTGAGTAAAAAACTGTTTACTGAACATCATCATTATACGATACAAGGCCGTGGTTTTATTTTTTTTTTATTAAAAAATATCTATGTTGTGCCTTACTCCAAACGTCTTGTAGGTATTTGTTTCTGTGAGATCAAGCCGCCCACCGTGACCCTAAATTCCTACCGGTCGACCCCGCGATAGGGTTATTCGTCTTATCCGGTATGTTGTTTCGCTCCTCGGCTGCGGGTAGTGTGTACAATGTGTTATTCTTTTATACGATGTGCCTACTATACAACATAATATTCTATAAAGTGGCTCAACAAAAATATAATACACAACGGCTGGCCCGGAGTTAACTCGCCAGACGAATCCCGCATGAATGAATTGAACGCTTTTGAAACACAAAAATACAAATAGGTACTTATTTTTTTTTACACGCTCATTTTTTACAACACCAAAAACCCTACAGGCCATTGTACCGGTCGACGTCGATATAGCCCACAAATTCCTTAAGACATTCTTGTACAGACATTCCGATTGAACACGAACGTCTGACAAAAATAAAAAGCATATTAACGTTAAAACCAAAAATTTTTAAAACAAACATAAGTGATTATTATTTCTAAAACAATTGATCAAACAGCCCAAGTAATTTAATACTGTAAATTGGACAATTATCGCGAGCATGGAGTGCTATACTTATTACAAAAAAAATATATTAAGTACTTGAGTATTTTTTTGTAATTTTTATTAGATAAAGCGAACATCAGACTTTTCTATCAATTGTATCATATTGTTTATCATTTTTATAGAAATCATTTTTGGCGTTGAATTGGTCTCGTTTTTGAACTATAACAGCATAATAGTATACCTGTATAATTTAATAGGGAAACCAAATACTTTTAAATAAAAAAGTTGCATTCATGTTAGTTTTTGAATTTTCTAAATAGCCGTTATAACTTTTAACAACTTTTGTACTGTTATTCGAATTGGTAGATATTTCAATCGATTCACAATTTATTATAATTACTGTCAATATAGTGTTATATGATGACCACGTCATCAATATAGGTTACGTGTTTTTTTAAATAAATGCGGGCAGTGCTTCCGGAGACTTGAGACTGATGACCAAACGATTAAATTAACAATAACGCTGAATTGCAAATTGTAAAACTATATAAAGACAATCAGATTTAATGATATTTTGTCAGTCGACTTTACCAGAGCTATATGTCATCAGTCAAGAGTACTCGGCTGTCGCTGTCCGTCTACAAGGTTTCGTTACAAGTTCGAGAGTTCGTTCATTAACACCTAGTAGTCTATCCTCTTTCCTTGTGCACTTGTCTTGCGATTCGTTCGCACAGTGCACATTCCTTTCTTAAAGTACCCGTGTCTTGCGATTCGTTCGCACCTTATACTTTCCTCTCCACACACACGTGTCTTGCGATTCGTTCGCACCGTGTGTGCTTACATTTCCTTAGGTACTCGTGTCTTGCGATTCGTTCGCACCTTGTACCTATCCTTTCTCATTCTCTAATTCTTTTTAATCCAGTATAAACAACGGCTCTTCGACATCCGCAAAGAACCCGGACAGCAATCCGTTTCGCTCTTGTACCAGTGTTCACCAGTATACATCAAGAGTCTAGAGTGTACACCATCACCTTTCTTTTTGTCTTACGACAATAGGTAATAAAGAAACAGCACTTGTTTTCATTGTACAGCTGTTAATTGCACCATCTCCGTCGTTGGTTGATACAAGTAAAATATACTTACATGTGTGTATTATATGTGTTTTTTACTTATACTTGTATTCGTCGTCAAGTTTTATCCAAATATTTATATACACCGGAAACACCAAATTATTAATCACTGTGTATCGTTCACCGATGAGATAATGTAAAATATTGCTCAGCCTTCCGCCAATGACGCCATAATGGACATAGTTTATTAGTAATAGTGTTACAGTAATTATTATTATACTTAACAACATCGAAAAGCCCTTGAATCGACTGTCGTCTACGCGAACTGACCGCCTCGTTATAATAATTACAGTTCGGTTTAGGTTTAAAATCTATTAAGTACATAATCACAATAATATTGTTTGTCTTAATCACAGTTGTCTAATTGAAGTTTATTAGTTTAATATATTATGCATGTAAAGTGTTACACAACATACGAGGCTCCGGTTATAGAGATGACGTTTTATCTGTGTATCCACTTTCTTATGAATGTTTCAGTTATTTTTAACTCAGAGCCGCGTCTTTGGGTGATCTTTGAACGGCCTACACTGGTTTACTCTTCGAATCACTTTGTATTTTTGTCTTTTTGAAAACGTTTTTGTTTATGTTATACAGAGTGATGCATTAAGGATTAAGGTGACTCATTATCTCCAAGAATAATTTTCTAGTGTTTGAAAAAAATGTTTAATATAAAATATTTACTTTTTTTTTTGTATTTTCCAGAGTTCTATTAATTTTTGAAACTTCAATGGTAACGTATAATTAGTTGGCTTTTTAAATTAAAAATAATTTGTTGAAAATATTGACTGGTCTATAACCGGTTTCGGATAATTTACATAAATTACTTTTAAAGTTATTTAAGTTTAAAATTTAGGTTGGAGGAAGGGTGGAGTGAAGTATTATTTTTATCAGCGCGTCCTAAATGTTAAACTTAGTAACTTTAAAAGTTATTATCCAAAACTGGTTATAAACACTAAAATTAACGTCAGCGCTATAATTTTGATTTTTCAGATTTGACACTACTGTAAACCGAAATTAACTTGGCTAATTGTTTATAAAATGGTTTATTCCAATTATGAACATATTGTAAGTAATTGTAGGATATTTTTTTGCCAGTAACTAATAATCGCCAGACTGCGAGGCGCTCTCAGAGTTAAAGCGATATCGTTCCAATAAAAAATACTCTTGTGCGTGAAGTGGTTTAGAAAGGCGATAAAGTAATTTTTTATTTTACATGTTGTTTTGCTCTACACAGCCAGTTCAGAATCTTTTATCCACACAAACAAGTAGTTAATTAGTCCGCTGAATGATTATTGCTGGTATAATAATAATAATAACAATGACTACATAGGCGCCTATGTAAATTTCATCCTTAAACATGTCATGAGAAATAAATAATTAATAGGATTAAAGGATTTCAGTTATATTGTGTTTTTTTTTTGTTGTTGTTATTAAAAACACAATATTTTCTAATTAAGAAGTTACATAATGATTACCTACATTTAGTTTACAAAATATACAACAATATCACGTTTCTAGTCGAGTCTCTCTTAATCGAGATAGGTAATTTGTTTGTTAATTATTATTATTGTTGTTCAATGTACTTACATATAGCAAAAAAACAAACTGTGCAAAGTGTTTACAACATAAAAAATAATTAATAACTATAATATTATATAAATAAATTGTAATATATTGCTATGTATGATAATAATTAACAAACAGCTAACATTTATGGCTACGACCTCTGAAGTCGAAGCCCATATTATAATAAAAATTAAAATTAAAAATGACCTAATGTCTTTACCTAACCTTATTCAGGATTGCATTTTTTTCTTTTTTACTAGAAACCGCTTCAATACTATTCTGTCATGTATTCTATGTATTATGTCATCCAGTGATTTTTTACTACTATCAGCCTAGAAGGATCACAGGAGGTTAGATAAGATAATCATAGTCGTTCAATGGAATAGACACAAAGAAAATGGCTCAACGCGAATTCGTAGTAAAACTTCTCCAATTACGAAAAAAATTGTCATCGAAGCGTTTACCAAGCAATTTAATCGTTTTTTAAATTAAACATTAACGGGAATTTAAAATATAGAAAAAAAAATACATATTACTTAATTTTTACGATTATTACTAGTTTTTCAACCGTGCTAATCAATAAATATAGGTCTGGTAGCAGATTGTTCGGATAATATTATTACAGCTGGGAACAATCATTCTTAATTTTGAACAATAGTAAATATACTAATTAATAATTTAAAATAAGCTTGAATAACCGTCGGATACAATTAAATCAGCGTAATTATTTTATCTACCTAATTAAAATTAAATGGAGAAAAAACCTGAATACTTATTAAATTATTCACACTTAATTTATAAAAATATACTATAGAAATTACCATACAAATAAATGATTATTTCAACTATTAATATCCAATGTATTTTTTTTTTAAGATAATTTAAATTAATTAAAAATAGCCGAGCAGTGTGTTTGCCCTCACTGTCACCAGTTCGACACTCTGTCATACGGTTCTGATTGATTAGCGGAAACCGTCCAGTGAAAAGTACAAAACAAATTATATATGTACATATTTATATTATATTTTAGACTTGTAGATAAACAGAGGACATTAACAGCCTAAACAACTAATACCATCTCTCTAGTTTTCGCTTTTAATATCGCAATTTCTAATTTTTTCAACAATATGTGTACACCTAGATATATATTAATAAATTTCAAAACGTCTTTTGTCTAATTGACATAATATTGTAATATTATAATTATGCGATGCCACTTATTTTTAATTGTCATTATTGAAATAAGAATTTTGTCCTCAAAGTCATCTCAGTTCCATCGAGAGTGGTTTTCATTCCTGAAATCAACCTCATATCGCCAACGGACAAACCGGTTGTGGATTAATCAATTTTTTCCAACGTCGACCGAAACATAAAAAAACGGTTGTGGTTAATTTGTGACATTTTGTACCTACATAAGGATATTAATTATAAGTAAAAACGCTCACATCTTTCAGTACTTTTTCACCACAATATGCTCGCGGTGTTGGATTGCTTCTCCACCGGCCAGACCAGACATTCCGATATATTATAATGGCATATTATTTATGTGTACTTTTTTTTTTTATGCTCGACATTCCCATAACATTGGCCGTCGGTGTCGCTGACACTACCTATATAGTGCATTTTATCCGTGTCCTTGGAGTGGGCGATTTTATTATACATACAATACAAGGAACAACGAGTTCTGTTGTTGACCCGAGCCAGCCAACGACCGTACACCGTTTCACCACAGACTGAAATATTGTGAAAACGGATAGCTGATTCGGCCAAAAACAAAGGAAACGTTTTAAAAGACTGATTTAGGGACTCGCAAAGATATCAGTGTAGCCGCATGAGTTTGTAGAAATTATTGTGCACATATTTTACAATATTATTGTACAAACTCCTTGTCAATCGTACGATTTTAACGATGACCGACTGTATGATTAGATCATTTATTTTTATCTTTTAACTGTGGTATTTAAACATCAGACATGGTAAAACTGATTTCATTTTGAGTCATGGTTTTTGTGTATATGCCAAGTGAGCTATCTGTTTTCATATAATCTGTGGTCTCAACCCTTTAGTCTTGCCACACAAATCGTTTGGCTGTATGGGTATTATTTTATGGACTTGAGTTTTGGTTTTTACTAAACTCGTTTACACTCTATATAAAATAATTCCTGAAAGACGTTTTTTAACATAACCAAGGTAACCATCGCCTTTTTCCAAAATGGTCTAATTTTCGGTCCCTCACTATGTCCTTGAAGTTTGTTCTCAATTCTCAAAACTTTACATTATTCAGTTAAGTAGGTACTCTAATTTTAAGTATGTATTATGTATTAATACTTCAATAATTGTCTCATTGTACCCTATAAACTATGTGTCCTATGGTTTTTAGTTCAGGACCTTATATTTTTTTTTAAAGTGGCACCGATTCAAAGCTTTCACTTAGAATTGCGTTTTTAATAGTTGGCAACATTGCTTGAACGCCAACAATAAAGGTAACATTGACTGCATTTGGCTTATCTCATTTCTTGATGACTATTAATAAATATTTATAATATTGCTATTGATAATCGAAAAGAAAAACTTCTCCTTTCGTTTCCTGTAAAATTCAATTTTAGGCACATGACACCTTCATCTATTTTGCCCATCTCTGTAAAAGAGGGATTTAAATAGTTTTGTCATGTTGCAAAATGAGTGGAGCAAAAGACATATCGAAGCGCATAAATTGGGAAACTGTGTAGACTAGACATATAAGCCATACGGCTAATGCGAAGGAAAAAATGATTATATTTGTATGTTACAAAGTTAAATAAAAACTATTGGTTGGATTTTGAGTACAAATAAAAAAGGTTTTATGTCTTCCCCGTTTGTTTACAGTCACAACACGATTGATCTTGGTCGTAATTCTGAAAACAGCTAATACACTCAATTACAGAGGCCAGTAAATTTGGCATGGAACATATCTGTATAATGAGCGTGCGAAAACAAAGTTAATAAACCATGTATCGATAACGACACGAAGGAGGTTTAATGGATATTTTTGTTTCATCAATTATTGTATTCACGGGCAATATCCATTATAATGGCGTCATCGGATCTAATCGATTAAGAGTTAAGCTGTTGACATTTGGTTTTTTAGCAAACCGTTCTCGAGTCATTGTGATTTTTAAACTATTTGTAATAAAAATTGTCTCACGCCATCTGGATGATTATGCTTATTTCAAAATAAGATTAGGCAGAACAAACTGTTTAACTGCGGTCATCCAGGAAATCACGCTTACAGTCGTTTGATCCAATCCGTGTTAATTTTAATCAGGACGAGACTCAAATACCGGATGGATCCTTATAAGCACTTCCGGTGCAAGGATCTATTATAGTCTCTGATTTAAAGCTGGTTTATGTTTTCACCTTTTGTTAGACAATATCTTCTATTTAACAGTAACAGTTAACAGTTGTCATAAAACATAAGTATATTATAGTGGTTAACCTTTTTTTTTTTTAATTTCTAAAAATTTGGCAAAAAAAACATCAACTATGTAATTTGTTCGTTTAAAACATCAAACTACGTTAGCAATACCGCTGATAAAAAATATGATGTTTAAGTAAAGTATACATTTTCGTTTGTTATAAAGTGATTAAGAAATATTTGAAATGACTTACATATTAACTCAATAATTAAACTCACCAAACCAGAATAATGGCTATTACATAACAAAATTATGTATTCGTTAAAAAAAAAAACGCTTTTAAAAGACAATTAAATTCAAGTTTAAGTTTATTTTATAATAAAGTAAAGTATAAAAAAAATGACATTAAATATATTAAAGGCACCAACATTTGTAGAATTTAACTCACTTTTCGGTAAATTTCACAATTGATTTGATACACTCATTTTAATAAGCGGTTACTAATCAAAACAAGACAATCCGAATTAAATTTAACAATGTGTATTTGTTATAATTGGCTACATAATTATAAAGTAATAAATTTAGGTTACGAGTTGTAGTTTCTTGTCGGTTGATTGGCAATAAACGAGTATTTTTTTTTTTTTTAATAATTGACAGTTAATTTTCAAATAAAATCATTAAACGTAAATCTGGTATCATTTTATCGCACGTGTGTACGTAAATGTATATTGTAGTTCAAGACTAGCACTAAGAGCCATATAATTTCAGCTACTCCAACTTGTATGAAAAGGTTATATTATCAACAAGCTCGGAATAGGAATTCAAAAAGACACTGACCCCGAATGACCACAATATTACAATTATTTTTATTGATAAAAAAAATTGTTATTTTATTACAATTATTTTGAACAAGTATACAAGTTAACCAAGTTTTTAAACACTAAACTATAGTGTCGTTATCAAAACACGGTATATCAAAAATATACTATACATTTAAATAATTTCATAAGATAATACCTAAGTATTAACTACACTTACCTAATTACAGTCTGGTAAGTATCATTGTCAGTAATTGTGGTTTATAAAAAGTGAGGTATACAGTAAAAAAATTCAAGTGTTAATCTTAAAAAAAACTATATCATTTTCAGGGTAAAAATAATTTTTAAAATGTCATCGCATTAAGATGGTTTGCTTGAATTCGTAATAAATATAAATAGTTTTCAGTGTAATAAAGTTAACTGAACCCATATTTGATATTTTCAAGACAAAAAATCGAATTAATAACGCGAAACTCGAAAAAGTAAAATTATTGCAAATGACTTAGCAGTTTAGTATACTAGTAATAAAAAAACATTTTGGTGTATAGGTGTAATAATAAAAAACTGACTGCTAATAAAACGAATCAACTTGAATTATTACTTGTTAAAAATAATTTGGCAAACGACGAAGAATAAAGATGTAATTTTTTTTTACTTATGCCTTTTAAGCGGTTTGCCAGTAACGACATTATGGTTTTCCAATTTTCGTGTGACTCTACTCCATGTAAAATATCACATTAAACTGAAAAAAGCCAAATTCATGTAAGTAAATTAGGTATATACTTAATGATAATATACACTAATGATTACTATAGTTCCATTAGTTTAAGTACAATTATCTAATTCACGGAAAAGATAATTATTATTTCTGTTATTTATATTTATATTCTTATGTACTATGTGTAATATGTATATAATATAATATTATGTATTCAATTTACTGGTTTTAGTGTGTAAACTTATATTATCCACATTTAAAAGTCTGTATAAATTACCTGCTCTCATTATGACAATCAAATAACTTATACATTCATAACTCAATTAGGCGGGTAATTATAATATAACAATGGGAATTTTATTGTAGCTGTTGTCTGTTAGAAATTGACTACCTAATTAAAAAAAAATGAATTTCAAGTATTATCAAAGTTACGTTTGCCCTGTGTCAATGACCGTCCCTGATACTATAGCCCCTGCGAATGACGGCATATCAGAGGTACCATATTCAGAGAATTTCGCACAACAGTGTTACCAGTGCGGCCAGACTAACGTTCGATTACATCTAATCGCGCTTATTTAAATGTTTTTCCTTTATTTACACATAGGTCAATTACGGGGGCTTAGGGCTGTATTAGCGTCCCCAATCTTAAAATAAGCACCCTCTACTATTTTTCATGTTTATGGAATAATACCTCTGCTTATACAAATGTTTACTATAAACAAAAACAAAAACTTTTTCCAGAGTTGATATTATTCAGTATCATTTATTAATTTCAGGTGGCTCACACACTTCCCATTAGTTCTACATTTTGTGAACTTTTGTTGTTTGCTTTAAGAAAAATAAAGCCTTGTCAATGGAGAAGAACACAGATTTGTCAATATTATACACGAAAAGATATGACAAATTTAATAAACATAAACAAAGTTATAGACACAATTGCAGAACAAGATATGCGTATAACTCTTGTATAAAATACCTGTATATTGTAGTATTGTACTAATTTTTATAGTTTTATCGTTATAAAATTAGAATATTTTTAAACTAAAGTGTTAAATGTTAAATTTCTGTACAATATCCTTGCTCAAAAAATTCATTAATTAAAATTAAAATGCCTGGAAAATACAGATTATAGTCTTTCATCATCGTAATACTTATGAGAACAATACTTATTTTGCACAAAATCTAATCCTAATTTTCAATTGTGTGTGTACACACACACGGAATACAGCTTAGTTATATATAACAGATGTAGGAATAACGAATATGGATAATAAATTAAAAACATCATAAACATTGTGGTCATATTATTTAAATATAAAAAAAAAAATAAAGTGACAAATTAATACAATTTTAACTAGGTATTGATATTTATTATAATATACATATTATGTACAAAAAATATCGTCGTTAAGGTAATTATTTTTTGTAATTTATTAGGCGACTACCGCCGGTTTTAAAACACTATACAAAAATAATGACTACTCGAGTTTTTTATTATGCTGTTATTTTTTAATATCTTCATTAAAAAATTGTTGCTGGTGTAGCAAACTATTCACTATCAAAAACTGGTTGTTTTTATTTAAGAATTTTGTGCGTTTTGTGACCTCATTAGGTTTTTTTTTTCCAAAACCGATCAAACTGTAGTCACCTAAATAAATCATTAATAATTTTCTTGGCACCGTTTTTTATACTCACAATATAAATACAATACAACCGTGGAACTTGTGTAAATGTATGTATTTTCATGTTACAGCTACACCTTTTTTTTTGTCACACATACAATTTGTTATAATTTATATATTGCATCGTTTGGGTTGTCGCCGCTATAATAATAATATATTCCTTGGTTCGGCCTTGCACGAAGAGAGCCTGTGATATTATAAGACGATCAAAATGTCATCTATGTAACTATAAATTTTTAAAATTTTCAAAGCAAATTTCCACCGATAGTCCCTGCCTGTCTCGCTGCTTGCTTTGTCCTTGCATTTACTCGGTTGGATTAAAATACACACATTTACAACATTATCCGGTTACATATAAACTTATTAATAATAACGGGCGCGACGCAAATACAAGACCTTAAGAACGTTGGATTTAAGTCAAGTCGTGCATTAGGCATACTACAAAAATCTGACAACATAACAAGACACTGTTAGGGATATCGATGGCGGTGGCACTATTGCAACACTTTTGGGTTTATAACGAAGCAATATGATATTATGCCATATTTTGTATAACGTCTAAATATTAACCACAGGTATTATGGTACATTTTATCGCACATCGTCCCATGTTTCAAATGTATGGTTTCATTTGGGTAATGCGATTCCACAGTAATAAATAAACAATAAAATAAACCTAAGACAACGTGGAATACAGAGAAACATAAGACGGTCAAGATCGGTTAAACATTGTGAAGTAAGCGAAAAGGCGAGCTGCAGTGTGACCAGAACCACGAAATTACACTTCTCTGGCCTCTGGTACATATTTTTAATTTTATTTCATAACAGCAACCGTGTGATAGCAGGTGTGATTATATTGTGCAGTGTTTTAAAACTTGTAAGAAAAGTATTTATTTTTACTTAAACTATCGCTAGCCTTTTTGATTACTTCGTTGCTGAGAACATGACATTATACAACGTTACAGCTCTATATATTTTTACTCCACGGTGGGGGAATAAAAAGACTACACCATTGGCGGATATCAGGAGAGGCTTGGGATACTGAAAACCTTAAAAGTTAAAGTTATTGTTAAATTTATTTTTATTTCAACAAATCTCTCACTAAAAAATAAATAAAAGTAGGTATTTTGGAAAACACAAATTTTAAGTTTTAAGGTTTTTAGTATCCCAAACTCCCCCCCCCCCTGATGTGCCCGCAAATAGACTTCTTAACGATATAAATGTCCAATACTTATTGTTTTCATATATATTTAAAGGACAACTAGGTGTTTTACTACTTTGTATAGTAAATAACGACGCGGGCGTTTTGACTATTAAAAACCGTTATAATTCAAACGAATATAGTATTTTAAAATGATTAAAATGAATACAATAGTACCTAATAATGTATCGACACAACGAACTATTCGTTTACACACGATTTATATCTACTAACTCAATACAAGAGTGTAAATAGTCAAAGTTACATAAATTGATGTAGTAAGCTAACACGAGTATAACGTGAAACTAAAAACTAAAAAAAAAGTTACATTTTTCATTGTTTTAATTATCATTATTATTGTTATTATAACTACAATGTTTTTTTTTATTTGAGCTGCACCAACACCATGAAGTATGTAACAACAGCTCCCAGAACCTAGATAAATGAGTAAAACACATTATATAGTATAAAAATAAATTTCCATTTAAAGTGTATGCGGGTAAAATTGAGTGTGTTATTTATTTTCTATTCTTTTTAATATAGCAGCTTCTTTCAAGTAAATTCGTTAACTCCTATCCAGGATAACGTTATTTTAATTCAACTAATTACAACACTAACGAGAAAATTATATTGCCTAGTGATCAATACTTCGTAAACAGAGAGTAGACAAGTTCGAGTATTATACATATGGACTCAGTTATGCAAAGCAATGGAGACATTTAAGAAGACGTGGCCGGTAGAATAAAGTGTGAAGGGTTGAGAAATAAAATGTTCGGCAAAACAGTATTTTTTTTTAGAGAGAAAGGAATATTTTTAAGTAGTTTAAGAGTTTTGTCAAAAGTTGGAAAAACTGAAATGGTCTGAGCATGATTGAAGAAGAAAGCGAACCGAAATAGTACAGCGGGTGTGATCGGTTTGGAGTGCTGGAGGAATTGAGAGGTAGATGGAAGACCGGGATATTGTTAAAATAAAGACCCACAGTTTAGGAATGAAATGTAGATAAAGAAAGGACAACGACGAGAGAAGCGTGATGGGAAAGAGTTAAGTAATGGGCGATGCTACTCGTTTGAGAAAAATAGACAAACTATTTGATACAAGAAATTTCATGTCGCCATTTTCGCGTCACACATTCATTTTCAGTAAGAGATAAGAGATTAGCGATTAGAGATAAGAGACAAAATCTGAGTGATAAGAGATATCGTATCCATGATTAATATTGTTTTTTATTCATTACCGAAGCGAATAAATCCAACGAGACGTTGAAAAACTTCGCTCCGGACACGATTAACGGTTTTTGACATTGCTGGCAAACGATTTGCACAAAGGTCTTTGCCTCTTCGGACCCGTCGTACCAGTGGCAACTGTAAGCCGCTTCCATTACCGACGAACTCTAAAAAATAATAACCATCAAAGACACGAATACCTTACCGAAAGCGATAAAGTTAATAAATAATAATCAATCACACACATTGTACATACTTCATTTTAAGATGCGGTAGGACATTAATTGTGCGGTAGGAAATTGTAAACGTGCAATTGATATCTAAAACACGTGCACTTGAGAAATAAGTAAAATATATAAGATATTACAATATAAGCAATACAATTAATTTTGGTTTTGATAATTCTGGAAAATCTTCAAATATCAATTTGTCATTTTCAAACCAGCTGTGTTATTAGTTACATTCAACGCATTTTTTATATGGTTTTGTAGATATAACATAATACATATTATGTATTTATTTTCCACGAATTCGTGAACGTTTTATTATTACAAGACTTTATATATTTAAACTTTGAAATGTTTTGATTTATATTAGTGCTGGGAATACTCGGATTTATCAAAATATACTTTCTGTCAAAATTAACAAATGACCCGGATTATCAAATTTAAAGATTTGAATTTTGTTTTACCCAAATTACCGTTATGTAACGGTAGTTTTATTATTTAACTTGAATTTAAAATAATAAATGAGGAATTAAGTCCCATTCCTAATTTACATTTCAGTAGCCTACTTAACCAAAATAAATTATTTTTTGGGTTACTACACCAAGTCAAAAGCCATTCGATTTTTTAATCAAATTATTCCCACTTTAGTATGAGGTACCTAAAAATATATTGAATAAATAAAATTAAAATTATGTTCTTATAATGTTGAACTACCAAAAGGGAGAACGAAATTTCACCAAACTAAATTACTGAAAAATATTATAACCAAATCGGTTGTAATAATATTAGCGCTCAGGTTTTTCAAGTTAACTGTCAGCTTTATTCAACGAATAATAACTCAAAGTTAACAACATCTTACATAATCGAGTAGGTAAATTTTTTTCGTCGTCCATCGAGTGTAACTTAATTTAAACTTTGATTTGTACACTCCGTCATTAATCACAAAAAACTACCACCGGTTCGTTATATAAAAAAAAATACTAATAATAATAAGCTGTGGAACTAGTACAATAAAACAAGGCGTACTACAATGTAGACTATTCAAATTATAACTACAATAAAACAACCCAATTAATAATAACAGGCATTTCGTCGACAAGGTCAACTTTGATTATATTTTTATTTTATACACATTTTAAAATGCGTTAAAATGTTGTCACCCATTGTGAAAAATTCGTTTGGATTTTCATTAATATAGTTTTTTTTTAAATTAAAAAATGACATTTTTCAAAAAAAAATTATGATTGAATAACTAATTTTGTTATTTGTTACTAGAGTTTTCCTGTACTCCAAGCTCACCTCTTCGATTAATTCGTTGCCGTGTATGCAAAACATGAAAATATGACCAAATGAGTACAACAAATATCCAATAGTAGAAAGTGCAAATACGCTCACTCCTTTTATCTGCAAATAAAACAAATCAAATCAATTGTATAACTGCGCTAGTATTATTTGAAATTTTTTTTTTTTTTTAAATCAATTTAATTCTTAGAAAGTGATAAAATTCTAATAATATTTCGCGCTCTAAGTAGTTAAATATTGCCTAAATTATTGTTTATTCGATGATCTAAAAAACTATTTAAATGAATTCAAAGATGTGATAAGATTGGACCAGAATGCGTCCTTCGAAATTATACAAAATGGGAAGAAGTAGAGAGACTTGGAAGTGGCAGCAATGGACTCCTCCTTAATGAACCGATGGACGGAAGAAGAAAAAGAAGGAAAATAATTATGGAACGAAATGTATTTACCTGCGAAAACTTGGAGAGGAAATTGTTTGTATGTTGGAAATTAACTCAACTCTTTTTTTTTCAAACAACTGACTTTTAAAAGCTAACGGACGATAACATTAAATATTAATATTGTAAAATAAACAAACCTGTGTCGCCTGGTATGCAAGTATAGTGAGTATGACGGTACTCACTAACATGTGCATCAGAAGGGCCGAACCGTAACACTCGGTTATGTAACTAACATATCTAAAAATTTTAAAGGTCATCATAATTAATAGTGTACGATTCAAGTTTTTTTTAAATTTAATTAATAAATGTTTATTTTCGACAACTCTCACTTGACAACATGTTTGTGCCTCTCGACCCAATACTTAATGGCTGATCTTACCAACACTTCTTGGTTGCTCGTTAACTTGTTGGGACCTTTACCGTTCGATCCAGAGCCTATTTTCAAACCGTATTCGGTCGTCTCGTTTATATACGTCTCCTTGTAGTCGCCATCTGCAAAAGGGAAAAAAAGACTTTTGTCTTATGTACTCGGACACCAAAAAAAACCATGTACTTAGGAATACTCCAAAACCGACGTTGTATGTGTAAACAAAAATACAACACACATCGCAATGTTGTAATACATATCATTAAATGTTATAGTTCTATGATGTTCAAATGTACCATCATAATATATTGTCCTGCACTCAGCAACGGAGTAATCGAGAAGCCGATCTACGGTGTGGCCACTTTAAGAAGGCTAGCGATAGTTTAATAGAAATAAATACTTTTTTTTACAAGTTGTTAAACACCGCACAGTATAGCCCTTATCAACTAAATAGATAAACAGATAAATTCTAATTTCGCATGACAATATTATGAATATTACGTAACCCACGGCTGTAGTAATTGAACAACAATAAAAATATGTCCCAGAGAAGTGTAGATTCGTCATTGTGGTCACATTGTAGTTCGCATTTTCGCTTACTTCATAATATTTTACTTATTGCGACCCACTGGTTTTAAGTGCCCCTTATAAGGCCAACTAATACCAAATAGTGTCACAAAATCACAAGTCCATAACAAGGACTTTAGTTATTATTTTTGCAACATTTAAAGATGAAAAAAAAAGTGTTCTATTATTAAGGTCAGGTATTTAAGTATTGGGCGAGTAATCGCTGTAAGGACTTTCCATTTGTATTGTTTTTTTTTTTTATTTAATTATAACCGCTGCAGTGCGATAAATGATGTAATCTTAAACGTCTGACATGTAAGGTTGCATCTCATTGTAATTTGCATTTGTCGTTATTATTATAGTATTGATAACCATAAGTATAACCGTTTCATCATGTAACTAGATCTGGTAAGCGATTTACTTTTAAACGACCATTATTTAACATACTTTTCAAGTTTCATCATAATCGCAGGAATTGTTGGACAGATAGTAACAATATCTGAACTATAATTGTTTAACAGCTAAAAAAAAATATATGTATGTAATCACACATAGCTATACTTATATTGTCTTATGTACTTATGTCACTTGGATGTATTCTGATTACACAAACGGTTATAATTAAATAAAATCATGCTTAATTCTTTAACAAAAAATAAAAAATAAATAAATACGAATTTTATACAATTTGTCTGTAATGTATATGTATTTTAGCTAAAGACGCAAAGCAAATTGTGGACCTGGATAAATATAGCATTTTGTTTTTTACTCGTGTGACAATATAGCTACAACAACATTGACCTATAATAGTGCACATTTCGAAAAACGAATAAGCAATTTCAAAAATAACATGTAAAAATTTTAAAAAATAACTTCATTTAATTTCTATAAAAAGATCAGATAAATTATCAAAAGGCTAAGAAATAATATGATGATTTTAATTTCCAGTGCCAACAATTTTTTTTTTTATTAGTATAACTATGTGTAAAAAATCTAAAATTCATATAATGTAAAATATTTTTGCCATATTTTTGGGTTTTACTTAAAATATTTTTTAAGCGATCCGTCAGGATTTAATTATTGCAATTTTCCATAATCAAGGAATAATTTTTATTTCGGCTAATTTTAACTGGTGTAGTATGAATTTTATATTTAAATCAAATTAATTATCGAAATAATAGTCAAATAATACATTTTACATAACTGAAGATATTTATGTAATTGCAGTCGAAAGACCAAACTGGAGCATTAAATTTGCCGTTCTGGTAACACTGGTACACAATTGTGTTTTGAATCCCTGATTTGTCATCATATACCAAGGTTATTAGATAAAAATAACTTTTATTTTATAATCTTGATCATATGCCACGTTAGTGAGGGCCAACAAGACGGGGTGCATGTGGGTAAATACCTACTTGGAGCATTTTGGATTATAGAGCCGATTTTATAATAAAAGTGTCAAAAAGAAGCCTAATTATAGTTCAAAAATATTTTTCAAAGCGTTTTTTTCCCCCAATTTTTAGAAAATATTTTTATGGAATTTAGCCAATGCGCAGTATCACCAAAAAGTATCGATTTTTGTTTTACCACCCGGTTAAACTGAGTCGTTTCCAATTACTATGAATATTATATATTTTGTACATTATGATGTATCTTATAAATTCAGCTATTATGTTAATGTTGCATCACATTAGACAACAGGGAGATTATAAAGTTTGGCCACATTGGCCAAAAGGTCTTAGAATGAGTAACACGATTCCGCAATTTATAATTATTACACACAGCTATTGTAAGCAATTAGAAATTTGGAAAATAAAAACATAATTTTCTAAAACTTATAAATTGTAACGTATTATTTAATAAACAGTGACAAACACTACAACAATATTGTATATTCTGACCTCATAATTAAGATATTTTTCATCACAACACTTTTAAAAAAAGTGATTAGAAAAAGTAAAGTAGCCAGAAGGTAGTACGTTTACTTATCTTAGTTCGACGATTTTCCATTCCACAATATTGATATTCTATGTTACAAGCAACCACTATAGTTCATAATCAATAAGCTTACATTAAATTTTGTTCTCTCAATTAAATATTTTTTAAGCAACGGTTTAGCTAAAGCGATAAGTTGTTCTGTAGTTGTCTTATACAATATCTTAATTTACACTTGTCAAGAAAGTCAAAGTCAATAACAATACTTGTGTTCGTCGGCAAGGTTGTCCATTGGATTATATTATAATTTTTACTTTAAAATTTGAATTTCGATCCGGGGTGCCAAGTATTACTTAAGTAAACAATAATGTTGTGTACATTTATTTTTTCGAAACTTACCAATAGTGTTTGCTAATTGTTTTTTGGCGGAAGAAGCGCGAAACATATCGGTCGGGTTAGGAGCAGCCGTGTCCAGTGCTGCACTTAACTCGATCAATGGGTTCAGGATCTCCTTTAAATGTTTTAGTTGCTCGCAGGCGTGTATGACAAACGACGAAAACAACACTTCCAACAAGTTAGCGTGACTGAGTGTAAAGAATATAAAATAGAACTAAAACATATTTGAAATAGGTATATTAATATCTAAAAAAATATATTAAAATGTATAATTATTGTCAAAAACACATTCGTATCACAAACATCTTGCAATTCAACTAATAATAATTTATTTCCAACATTCGTCGAACTTCATAGAGGTTCCGACCATAATCTTCTTCTTCCACATGACATGTCTTCTCTCGACCTTAAATTTTCTTCTTTTTGTCTCTCGTCTCGTATCCTATCTTTTTGAGATTGGCCGGTAAAAATAAACGGAAATTTTACATTCTTTAATCTCCAACCTAGCACCACCTTGCCTGACTGCCATGTCTTCCTACTCCTCCCATCTATCTATCTATCTCTGTCCATACATCCTTAAATCTAACCTAACCAGCGCTGATTGTTTCATTTCAGCTGTTGGTTTTCCAATGTGTTTTTATTTTTGATACTATCCTGTTGCCATTTACTGTCATGGAGGTTCATTCGCTGAGACAGTGATCAATGTTCATAGCAGTTCTCTACTTTTAATTCTTATACGGGCCCTCTTAGTTTAACACGGATTAAATAAAACCGGATGGCGCACTTCCTATTCAAACAATGTAATTCCCTAAAATGTAAACAAACCAATACCCTCCTCAAATACGTGTTCCACTGATTAAAACATTTGTCTTAAAGAGAAATTATTGTTTCATAACTACGAATCACTTAATTTGTTGATTGTTAACACAGATATATTTTACAAATTATTTAATAACGTATTCTAGTAAAATGTGTTCTACGGTAATTTCATTCTTCGTATGTGTGGTCACACTGATCTCAGGAGAGATCCAGTTATTAGTAAATTCCGAAGTAACACCCTATGGTTTTATCTAACCTGTGGTTAGGTATGAGTACAAAAATAACCACAATAAAATTTTGATAACATAATGTAAACATTGCCGTCTTACCAAATGGCGACCAAACTTTAGTTTTAAGTATACGTTTAAATGCACAGACTATATGAAAATAGATAACTCACTCGGCCGAAAACGTAGGAAATTAAAAAAAAATATTGATTAGCGACTCGCGACGATATCAGTGTGGCCGCACGGATTAGTATGAATAATTGTGCAGATATTTTACGATATTATTGTACGATCTCTTGTATCAGTCATACGATTTAAACGATAACTGACTGTATGTACCTATTATCACAGATTAGATTAGATTTCTTTTTATCTAATCTGTGATGTTTCCTATGGAATATTCTGCTCGAATCTGCGGTCACACTGATTTCGTTTTTCATTCGTGTGACGTCATTGTTTTTGTTTACATGCCGAGTGTGCTTTTTGATTTCGTATCTGTCTGTGATATTATATTTTATGTCTGTGACACTATTGCACAGTGCTCGTGGTACTTTACCTGATAGACAAAGGCCACGAGATAACCTATCCCGTGAGACGCGTCCCACGGATACCACGAGTTCAACATTAGTCTGGGGATTGGTACGGCCATGGTTTTGTTATAAGATTCGGGATTGGGAACGTCGTAAACGCTTTCGCCAACAAATGTAATCATCGTCCAACTGACGGTGGAAAACACGGTAACCACCGAAACTATAACTAACAGCTGACGCATTCGAGCCAACGACCTCGCGTGAAATCTAAAACAAACAAACAAATCGGTTTTTTTTTCAAACGTTAATTGCCATATTAAACGTTTGTTTTTATGTAATGGTAAATTAATAATAATTATTATAACTGCCTGTGGTTGTTTTCATAGCACATTACGATTTGTATCCATCCAATAGGTACCATCCGATCTATAACCTTTGGTGTTGTCCATTGTGTATAATGATAACACATCTCCGTGATAATAATTATAGCACAGAAATAATAATATTAGCATATTGACAGCAATTATTATTAGGTGACCTATTATTTCGGCATATAAGTATGCAGAGTTGTTATGTTACCCGTTATTCATAAAGACAAACCAAGGCCATCGCGTCGTTCAAAAGGTTGTGACCTCCGAATTCTCAAGATAGCAAAAACGCGAATATCGCTTACTCACATGTCTTGTATAATAATATTATGCCTACTAACATTATAGATAAATACTTAAAAAAAAAATTGAACGTAAACAAACTAAGTACGACGAAATTGTCTGATTACAGCGGGTGATTCATTAAGGAAAAGACATTGATTTGCTCTTAAAATGATTGCAGTTTTTCTTTTTGGAGATGTTTTAAATTATGATACCCATTGTAGTATATTAGACAATGTTCAAATTTTTAACTTTTTCAATATTTTTCAGATTGCTATCGACTTTTGAAACTTAAATAGAAACGTATATACATATTTAAATAACATTTTTAATTAAGAATAATTTGCTAAAAAGCAAATAACAAAAACAAAAATAATAAAATTGCAATAATTTTAAGAGAAAATGAGTGTCATATCCTTAATGAATCGCCCTGTATACGTAACATTATCACATACCCACCTTGTTTTTTTTTTTGATATGCCATTTCAAACATCAATTTATAATAATAGAATATTTAAACTTTAAACGGTCATCTACAAAAGGTGCACAAATGTATATAATAAACGAACTAATTAAAAAAATATAAAAATCCTTAGTGTTCATAGGTGCAAAAAATCGATCATTTTTGCAAGGACTAAAGTCTCTGTCATAAAAATTTAAAGAATAGCCTATGGTTGCTGAATTTGTTTTTTTTTGGGAGGAGGAATTTTTCAAGTGGTCTAAACCCCTTTCAACACTACCCCTACCCCTCTATTTGTGTCACTGTTAGGGCTGACAAAGTGGTAAAAGAAAAAAAACATAGATTCATTGCTAATAATAATTCTTTCAAACCCCTACAATGTTATGTAATATTATGTGTAGTAAGAAATAGCATAGGTATTGTGAAAATAGAGGTTATCTAGTCATATGATAATGATGGTAACTATTATGAGAAAACTCATTTAGATATTATATTATTTTTTTCTTCAAAACTATAATCTTATTTATTTTGAATATAAATGATAGCGAGAAGTCCTAAAAATATACTTGTTGTAAATTATAATTTTAGACCTCGTTAATAAATAATATTGTCTACAATTATTCCGAACTCATCTCATCAGTCATCACAACATATAGTATATAATACTAATACAATCAACTTGGTAAAACAGTAATTTAGACAAATGTAAACAATATTTCGTTAAAATAAGTAGTCGCTAGATTATTTTTTAAGATCCTTTTAACCTTTTTTTTTACGTTGGTTACTATTGATTATCTTTTTTATAACCTTGACACTTAAGTATAGAGTTCTAGCAATCATAAAATATTCATAAAAAAAGTTATAAAATAAGACAAAGGTGGAATATTAGTTATTAAATATCGTTTCTACGAAAAATAAAAACGTTATATCTAATAGCAGGGTAAAGTTTTTAATCGACGTGCTAGCTACATACAACGTAATATAGGTAGTCAAACACTTAAATAACTTAAAAGGTAAATAATTTTATTTTGTGAATAAATACTTAATTATTCTATTGTACTCAAAAAGTAAGTCAGTAATTTTCCCTTTCCTGAATTCAAAGCTACCCTGCAATCATGTAAAGAGACATTATTTTTATCTTTATAAATACCCGTACGACTGTACCCATAAACCAAGTAAAATTATGTTTGTAGCATAAAAAAAAAGTCTCAATTGTAATATTTAAATCTTGGATAAACGCACTATGATGATCTGACATATTTACCACGTACAATAGATGTCAATTTTCCAGGTTAATTAATACATACTGTCTATTTGAACGGTTCCCGTTTGGAAATTTACTTAGGCAAATAAATAAACGTTTAAAACAATTGTTTTGTACTATAAGGTTTTTTTTTAAAACAAAAAACGTTTCAATTACAATGGTTTGAATTTAAATAAATTCAAGTTTGATTGATAAATAGTTGTTAAGATTTAAAAATTGTCTTGTACAAATGACAGGGTGAGTAGGTTGTGATTTTTAATTAAATACAATATATTAAAACACATATAAAATGTTTTATTTATATTATGTATATTAACTACTGTCCATTATTTTTAATTTTCAGTGGCCAAAACCACAGCTACCAAACATTAGTTTCTATACTAGTAGCTACTAAATAATAGTATGTACATTCTAAACTTGTTTTAATATTAATACATATTATAAGAGTTATTATAAAAACAACGATTTTAAAAGCTGTCTATATTTTGATGACTAGTGAAACTATTCGGTGAAATCAATTTTTATACCCAGAGTTGGCAGATTTAATATTTGCTTTTTTTTTGTCCTGAAAACATAATATTTTTTATGCATTTATTTTTCACCGGTTTGCGTATCGATCGATCAACATATTTAATTTGGACGATATTCATAAAATTTAGTAGCAGAACTCAATTAGGAAAATATCTGTTATTTTTACGTCAAACATGATAATTATATGGTTTATATAATATTATGAAACAACATTAACACCCGACAAATAACTGAATACCAATAATGATCTACCAACATGACGACGAAATAAGTATTTTTAACCTCTAAAAATATATTTTAAAAAAACCAATCCGTACAAATATGTGTATCATAATTAGTTCTTTAGATATTTGTAGTACCTACCTAATGATGAATAAATAACACCTCAATTGAAAATTATTGCTATCTTTATTTTTGTTTGGTTTTTATCTCGCTTTGAGTGTCTACGAGATGGGTTAGTATTTGAATTAAGTTCCAAGAATAGTATGGTAGACTTAAGACATATTTTACCTAATGAATACGTTTTTATGTATATTCATTTATGGTAATATTTTATTAGTAACATTTTCTAGTAGGTTTACGTTGCACGGGTAGATTCATAGTCTACTATAGATTACAAACTTGTTTTGTTGTAGTGACCACAAGATGCTAGTGTAAATATTTTACAGGACATGAGACAATGCTGAAAATAACTAATTTTGAGTAAACAAATTTGTATGTATGCACTTAAGATTATAATAACTGTCGGTGATATTTTACCTAAACTGGTTACTGATAAGAAACGGATAAGGATAACAACAAAATATTACAGTGAGTAAATTGCCCAGGTGTACCAACCCCATGCTTAACGGTTTTTAATTTCGGAAAATTGTGATAATATTAGGACATGGCTAATTTATAATGTACATAATATTATGATTTTTTACTCTAAATGTTTAAGTACCTGGAGTAAGATTCTGCAAACAGCGGATGCGGAGAAGTGTTGTTCCAACAGCCTAGTGTCCTGTAAAATGACTTGGTGCCCGAGCTAAAGTACAAGTATTTAATCATGGAATGAGCGAAAAACAACGTAGTCACCACGCCGGCGGCCAACTGATCCGAACTGTAGGATTTAGTTATCATAAACATCACAATAAACAAATACTGTGAGTAAATCAGTATTGTGGTAATCCAACTGTAGATTTTCCTCAGCAGCACAGCGAATCCGGAATAGTCGTCGTAGTATTCAGATATGAACAAACCGGACATCTGTATCAACCGAATGTTCGGCCACAGATCCTTAATAAGTCCGTCTTTTTTGAAAACCATTGTCCTATCAAAACAATAATACTTCATATGATTGGTAATGTTTAAATATAAAAATCACAGGACTTAGTTGATATCATTAATGTGGCTATTCATATGTAACCTTATTTATTCATATTGCAACCTCGGTGTTAATTTAAAAAATTAAGGTACTAGATTTATATTATTAGTTAATAGTTGTATAATTTAAACGATTAACGGTTTTACGCGTTATTTAAATTATTAGAGTATAATTATTAGAGTATTATTATTAATTATTACCTTCACTACCGACAATATTGATTGCGAACACCAAATACCGACATCTATAATGTAGTGGCGACACTGATTAAAATACTAATTTTATTATAGACAGGTTTGTAACTACGTCACATGACAGCAAAAATTTGTATTTTATTCTTAGTCTTTTAAACATAAGAGTTGCAAATTGTGTTAAAATAAATAATAATAATTGAAAATGTATTGGACATAGTAATGTCTTAGTATATAAAGAAACTTGTCAATTTATAATTTATTTTTATTTTTTTGTATAAGTGATAATTAAAAATTGTAATTACATTTCCTTACATTAACCACAACTACTATAATAATGTGCGTTTCTTGTAAATTACCACTGCCCCTATGTATTCTCACTTAATTATTCTATAAGCTGTTCTATTCTCCTTAGCTAACAACAATTGTGATAATTTGATGTTTTAAGTTTTGCATAACCATTTTCTTTTTCTTTGCCTAATCACATTTGACAAGTCACAAGAGTGGAACATCCGTGCTCTTTTACAGCAATATGATCTATCCGTAACCAGCTGACCTAACCATGTTAACTCTATCAACTTCAGTGAAATTACTTCACCTTCGTTTTCTGTAAATTCTGTACTTTTACAACACTTATTAATAACGTTAATGTTTAACACATACTTATATTAATCACAATAACTGCCGGTAATTAGTGTTCGTAATTTTTAAAAAAAATTAAATATTAAACGTTAAATTTATAAGGCCGAAGAGAATATCAACACTAGAATAACATACAGTGTTTTTAAAAACAATCTATTGACTTTGTCCTTGATTTTTTTTTTTGTGCTTCTTATTTAAACAGATTATTAACCTTGTACAACAATTAAACATCTTGACTATTACTAGTAGAGATTCGCCTAAGTAGCATTTTTTTAAATGCATTTTTAAATGAATTCATTCGAAGGCCGACCTTTTGTTTTCGGTAAGCTTTGCGTTGATCAATGGACGATAACCGATTTTCTCGCTGTGTGGAAATCGTTCATTAACCGACATAGTTTATAAAACATAATTTGTATAAAAAAAATGCTTGGCCTTTTGATGAATGAAAATCCGTTAACCGTGTCAAGGTCGAGAGAATTTCTAAACTTAGCTCCCACAAAGTTTTAATTAAAAACCAGAGGGTTTTTTTTTAAATTGCGATTAAACATTTTGATAATACCAACTCAATTAAACAGACAACGCGAAAGTTTAATGAAACCCGACGATTTCATTGACAAATGATAATGAAAGTTTTATTGTATTTAAAAAAAAAAATGAATGACAAGTTAGCTTTAAATCTTTTTTAAACTGCATTGGTATAATAAATTCTAATTGAACTCGATTTTGCAGTCTTATCTGCAACGCGCCAACCACTCGAGTCCATTCAGTAAGTGTGTATTCAAGTAAAAAACTCAAAAGTTATTTGCTAATTAATCAGATTGAAATTCCAACGTAGGTAGGTATAATATTATGAGCTTAAGTGCTTAACTGTGTCTAAACAATTTAAATCAACTCGAAGACTTTTTCATTTTTTAGTCTTACCTTTTTCTGTATGTCTTACACGCCGAAACTACCAAACACACGTAGTGAAACACTTAAAAATGTTTGCAGAGCAAGACCTTGTATCCATGTACAGTTCTATTTGACGTTCCACACCAACTTCTTAGCAAGCTTCAAAGATACTGAACCGTAAACACAATCAGAAAATGTGTGACCCATAGTGGTCGTACTGGGTCAAACAATGGGAGGATCTTTTTGCCATGACCTACCTGTTTGGGGGATGATACCGTTTTAAATATTAAAGTCATTTATACACCGTAACTTTTTTTTTTCTCAAAAGACTATACCTGTATATTTTTTATTGCATTTATGAGAAAATTCCCACGGCCCTACGGAAACGGCGACGTTTCTCCTATTGTAATAATAGGTTCGGATACAGAAAATTAGCTGAAGAAATCAATATTATTTACTTATGTACACGGTGAAATTAGTAACCAACCCTCAACGCTCAACACGAAGGTACAGGACAAAAGTCCACGTGAACTAGGTTAGATAATAATAATATTATGTGGATCTTATTTGAAATTTGGCGCTCAAACGGAGTTCAGGGCCGAAGCAGTTGCCACCCCTGAATGTCAGGCAACCAAAATCGGTTTTAATTATTCATCGCTGTTGGATATACATTATGATATTATATTATATGACAATTAAAACACCTACTTATTAATTACGTGACATTCGTTTGCTTAATAGTCTATATTTACCTTGTCGAAACCTTTTATTTGGACTATTATAAAATATATAAGTAAAAGGAATTTTCCCAATTCTTCAAACAAATATCATTGCCCGATTACAAAGTTGGTACTTGTTTCAAACAAGTTGATAAAAAAAATGTATTAAAAAATAATCACTTACCTGTAAATAAGTTGTGAAAAACCAAACTTCCACAACGCATATGAATAAATTAAACATAGAATACGTTTTGCGAGTGTCAATTACATGCACACTGTGCGCTACTTCATAATTTAGAATAAGAGTCTGTGGTGTCAATATTTTTATCTCTTATCAGCTTTTAATCCCTCATCAATTAACTTCCTTATCACTATTAAATCTCTTATAAAATAAACTTTTAAAAAAACAATAATGATCAAAAATTATAAATGGTAAAAATTGGTATTTTTATAAATAATAATGAAAAGGGGTTGCCATACACTTTAACTAGTATATAACATAACTATAATTATAATAGCGGTTATAGATTTAAAACAATCCTCGATTTAAATGATATTAAAATGATAAATGATCTAATGGTATTTAATTGTATAAGTATATAATAATACATATAATTACCTATCGTGGTAATAAATATAAATGTTTGAAAATTGTAAGATATTGTGAAACATCATAGCCAATTATGTTTTCAAAAAGAAATCTACCAAATCGCAACTGATTTCTTATTTCAAAATAATGAGCGTCTTGCTTTAAGTTGGATACCTACCTACCCTCTCTGTGTATAAGATATTGGATGCTCTGAATACCGATATCGATTCAAATAGCAAAATGTTTTACACGTTTCTTTAATAGAATCTACAATTGATTGACCAAAAACGTAGATGACTATTTAAGACCAATGACCATATTACTATATATGCCGTTTCGAGCTCTTGCCGTAGGCAGTAAATCTGTAAAGCGTACTATGTAGTTTCATAATCTCGCAATAATATAATAATAATAATAATGATTAATGATAATTAAAAATCAATAAATCATTATGACTATGACAGTTTGAAGCAATGATAATGCTGTTATTCACTGTAGGAGTGGACTAGTTCCGCGTTCAAGAATCGTGCCAAGGTGTTTACTGTTGACATAATAGTAGTATGTAATATTATAATATTGTTATGAAAAACATAATATTATGACAGCCAACAAGGAAATTAGAAGCTGTCAATCATTATAGTGTTATAAATTAATTACCGGGAGGAGAAGAACTATAAAGTTTGCCTAAAATGTAAAAATATAGTTTGGGTTTTTTTATAAAGAAACATAAATTAATTTACGAAAATAATAGTGGTCACTTTTTTTTATATTGTATACAGTATTTTATTATAATATTCCATATTTTAAATAATATGAAAGATTATTCGAATTTGTTTTTTTTTATTATTATTATAGGCCGCGATAACACAGCTCTGTTGTCGAGACAATAAAATTATTTGTCATTACATGTACTCAAAAATAATAATATAATATATAATTAAGTATCATAATATAATTTTATCATAATATAAAATGAATAGGGCGAAGTGCGTCGCATTATTATGATGAAATTAATAACACGTCCATTTAATAATTTTCTAGAAAAAAACAACCAATTTTTATAGTAATTTTTTAATTATCTTTGTAACGCATTAACATCACACGATTCAACATGTTGAATTAAAATTAAATGAACCGTTAATATTTAGTATTAACCTATCTTTAATTGGAGTTCTAAGTCGAAAGTATGAACTAATGTTGACCATTGAAATGTATTTTCAGATTAATTCGTACAACCTTTAAGGTATTATTTTTAACATATACAATTTGTTTTATTTTCGTTTTTCCTATCTAGCAAAAACACCAATTAAAAATAAAAAAACCATAGGTATCCTCTGCCGAAAAATTATAAATAACTGAAAAGAAAGATAACAGATACAAAAACTATTTTATACTTTCAATTGAACGTGTACAAATACGGTATAAATATTTTATTCTTATTTTTAATTATCAATGAATATAACTATATTACTCATGTAAAAGCCACTTTGATGGTAAAAAATGGTTTAGATGTGACAAACTTGTAAGATTTTAGCTGGTCCGATTTCAATTCTATAAAAAGAGATAACAATTAAAATATACATAAATACGCGTGACAATTGTACAGCAAATTATGCTGTGATCTAATAGTATTATATAAGTATAGCTTATGGTGCAGAAATATACTTCTAAATATTAAATTATGAAAGCCTAATTTTGGAAGTATTGTATTTTATGGCGATTTTCCTTAATTCCTGTTATCTTATTGTTATTTTAGTCGGATTAATAATATATTTTTTTCAATTAAAACTTCGACTTTTTAATTAAAAAAGTATTTGTGCAATTAACATGCCTGCCGAATTAAGACAACGGCAGAATTTGACAAGTCCCCAAATTTTGTAGTTATTCTTAAAGTTAAATTGAACTTTATAATATGACCTAAGTACGATTTTATTGGGGATTATTTTGCTAACGCGCCTATATAATATCAAAAAATATGCGGTTTCTTTATAATTAGAAAATTATTTAGTGTTATGTAAAAAAAATTCTATTGGTTCAACACTGACCGAATTAGGAAAAAGGTCTTAAGTCCAAAAATTACAAAAACGGGGTTAAATACATTAAAAAGGAATAAATTGTTTTTTTTCTCGTGTAAAAGTATTTTATACAACATTTTATGTGAATTGTAAAAGTCATTAAAATACAAATGTTTTTCTCGAGTTTTATTCAAAGTTTAAATTTCATTTACAAAATTATTTTGAACATAAAAACCTTTTACCCGAGCTCCAATTACTTAATTATTAGCTATTTATTATATAAATGTTCTTGACCCAAAAAATACCACAACTTTAAATAGATTTTTTTCAGTTCTGTGAATTTGTAAAAGCTCTCGTGCCTTGCATACTTAAATTATTAAGCATTCTGAATTATTAGGTGTAAAAAATATAACCCGCCAGTAGTGGTCACAAGAAATTCCCAAATAATAACGTTATTATATAAATAATATAACGTTATTATTTTTATTTTACTCGACTTTTTTTTTATTATTATAAAATGCGAATCAATTAAGTTTATTAAATAAATTAGTTCCACAATGTTGTAGCTTGTTACAGAGCAGACTACCAATAAAATGACTAAATATAGGTGACCAGTGCTGCAGCCTGTAAAAAACATAAAAACTTAAGATAAATAAAATGTCAATATTTTATTTTATGTTTACCATTGTTTACTGTTAAACTGTTAGAAAACTTGTTATTTTCATTTGTCTACTGTTATTTGTTACTATTTTGAAATTTATGTTCATTTAAAGCTGTTAACGCTTAGTTTTTTATTTTCAGACTTTCAAGAAAATAATTTATATATTTATATGTTTTATTATTTTATACATTGTTATTTGATGCATTTAAACAACATTTTTTAGCTAAGGTTTAATAAAAAAAAACATATTTCGACCAGACAAAATCTGGTCAATATTGTCCAGGAAAGATTTTGACCAGACAAGAGCCCAACCCTTCAGTTGGAATTATAATGTATAGTTCATATTATATTTTTACACTATTGGCTCACAAATATTTTATTATTCGTGTGGCGTTTAAATTGAAGTGGTCGAAAAGAGAAAAGAGGTCGTTATCGGGTTTGGCCAAACGGGGATGCAATTCGTATGGAAATTAAGGTCTTACCCCTGGCCTGGGTTCGCAACTAGTATGCTTTATCACACACAGCGTTATTGATCTACATTTAATGCAATTTTGAACTGTGTCAGAACTCGGGTCGAATATAAATGTTACATTAAAAATATTATACAGGTTACGGTCAGGTCAAACCCGTCACCATTGTGCAGCTGCAATTGTATAGATTATAGGGGATGAAGTCCCTCGCTCCCCTCGTGTACAACTGTATGCTTTCAATGTGTATTTAATTTACCTATATACTTAAATATTAAACACAAAGGTACATTAAAATAAATAGTAGACTCTGAAATGTAATTAGGAAAAAATTTAAGGTCTCGCCATCCAATTTGACCTAGATCTACCAGCTGTTAACAGATGTGGGATACTCTGGTCAGAGTGCTGAAAATTATGGCAAAATGATTAACATTAAAAAAAAAATAAAACCAAACAAACAATTATCTGCTGAAAAACATTATGTACATTACACAACATCTAGCAAAATAATATACATTATTGGTTTTATTTTAACACCGTTTGTGGGCGATCGGAATTTTTTCAACGCATTATATAGACAAATAATTATATAATTAACGTTTTTTTAACGCACAAATTTGGCGAATCTCCGAGACCTTGAAAACCTGTTAACTGTCATGCGATTATATTATAAACCTATGTAGAAATTATGAGTCGGCCCCATAGCGTGGGACGACAAAGACGAGGTACACATTGATGTACACGAAAAGTTCTATTTATACAGACTACATTACGAACTAAGTTTTAGCTTCGATGCAAAGCAGAGATGCTATAGGTTTTACCATGACGTGGGCTTTTTAATACTGGACCAAAGTCCTTCGAGTAGCAATTCTATAAATCACACATTTCATCTAGCTGGTACTTTGGGGGGGGGGGGGGTGTAAACGTTTTGGGGTGGAGTTTTTAATTTTGTTGAATCAAGTTAACCTCAGTGTTTTCCAGTTTTAAATAACTAATGTAAGTTTTTGATTGGACGTTATGAAGACATCGTGTGAAAATTGCATCTATTGCGGTTCCTGACATAGTTGTCGGAGTTTTTGGATCATTATTTATTGATAAATTGACTTTTCACGCAAAAATTGTTTTAATGGTTCTAATCTATCCTATGAAAAATGAACATTAAAGCCTCCACTCAGAATCATAGTGACGCGGTCGCATGATTTTATTCACTTTTATCGCTTTCAAATTAACGCTCTGATGCTTATTTGTAAATACGCAGCACCTCAATTTAATACTTTCTAACTTTGCTGGTTTACACTGTGCTTGGTTTGGACTGTCCTGGCTTGAAAATACTAACTGCTGGTTTGCATCGAAGCGTTTATTCGAAAGTGATTTTATCACTTTCAGATTTAAAAATTCCTGTAAATCTGTGACCTACCCGTCCCCACCATTCCGCGACAACACTGTTCTGGCTTTTTTTTTAAATAAATATTTACATAAAAGGATTTTAAAGTTAAACGGAAACTATTTTTGGACAAAATCGCATGTCACAATAACGGTAACAGATAAAAAAAAACATTGTGTTGGTATATTTTTAATTGCTCGACTAAACATTTTATTAATTGTGATAACTTATCACTGTTAACATATCAGTTATCATAAATCTATAAAATATACTATAATATATTTATTATTTTTTTATACTCAAAGATCCAATTTTTAACCAATACCTATCGTTCGGAGAATACGACGACGATTATTTAAATATATATAATATGAATATTTAAATGTATTATTAATTATATTGAAAACAAGCAGAACGTTTATTGTTTGACATTGACCTTTATGTGCAGGTACAATTAAAAAAACCTTGTCCGCCTACCACACGAACAATATACAAACCGTTTAAATGAAATATCAAGCACAATATATTATAATCACAATAATATTGAGGTGGCCAATTAAAAATTGAGTGACCAGATTGTTATGTAAAATGCGTGAAATAATATTTATAAATCTATTGTGAACCCAAACCGACGGTTCGCAGACAAACTTTCAGAGTTTTGACATAAAAACAATGTACAAAACTGGAGTAGGTATATAATATATAATTATTTGTACCTATATAACAAATAACAATGTAATATTATTATTCACATTTCGGCATAGTCACTACCCGTCAGTTGTGTGTTTACATTAAGTTGCCGTCAACGAGTGGGATTCATATAATATATATATATATATTTATATATTATATAAATACTAGGTATAGATATTTTTTTAATTAGATTAAAACAGATTTAAGTTATTTTAAGTAACTCAGGAATCCGGTTAAGCCTCTCAAGTCTTAATTCCAGTACGACGAAAACAAAACAAACAAATATATACAGGGTGATCGTGTTATCGTGAACCACTCAATATCTCTTTGGATTTAAAAAGAAATGATTTTTTTTTTTTGCAGTTCTTATACAACGTGATCTCAATTTTTCACAATTTTAATTAATTTTCAAAAGTCGCTATCAAAAAAACTAAATTAGGACGGGGTAAAACAAAAAAGATTGTGAAATATTGAGATCACGTTGTACAAAAATATAGTGGGGAAAAAATCAAATTTCTCATTAAAGCCAATCAGATATTGAGTGGTTCACGATAAAATGATCACCCTGTATTGTATGTATGTATACTTTTTATTTATTCGAAATAAGTTATTTTAAAATCTCTAATAAGCACAAACAATATATACATTTTTGGTGACAAGTAAAATACAATGACAGGACGGGGGTTGGGTGTCTAGTGAATACCACTTCAAACACAAAAAGTATATACTATGATTTATTTATTTTTAAATAAAAAAACATTGTTTATACATATACAGTAACTATAATATTATAATTAGTAATAAACATAAGAAGGGAAAATTATAAATATGTTTCGACGTTAAAAATCGTGACCGACCCAAATTAGCTCTGCAAATTATAAGTATTACAAAAACATTTGAAATGTGCTAAAAGTGCTAAGCCTGAACCGTAACCTCCTGGTGACCTTCTCCAGTGTCAAGTCTGATGGGGTTTTTATAAGCATCAATACTAATGCTTTACACCGGGGCGTTCCGGTTTGTCGATAATAATAACTACGAAGAACTGTTGGCGGAGTCGCCAAAAATTTGTTTATTACAATATTACAAGTAGGTACTACTGAAATTATTATTAATAACATTATGTGGTAGACGAATGGTAGTTAACACCGAGACCTTGGAAACCGAGTGTTGCAGCTTCTAGTCTGACAGATAATCCGTTTCTAAAGAAAGAAAAATACTTGCAATTAATCACAAAAAAAAGATCCACAGCGTGTTGCATTAAAGTTTATTCTCAAAATTCAATAAACCAAACAAACTGCCATTTTTTTGGGGGGGAGGGGTCCTATGCTAACGGCGCCGTTTTTATTTCACTTTTTCATTCAAAGTTTTAGAGATTTAGGTCTGAATATTAGAACGAAGGTAGATTCTTAAGGGACCCCCCCCCCTAAAAAAAATAAAAAGGGGAAATTACCCTTTGGCCGTAGCCAGCCGTGCGAGTATTTTTTGCCACCAAGGACAACTACTTCCTATGCAGTTATTTTTTGACCTCATTTTCATATTAAAAAATAACGTAGTAAGTCAATTATGGGTTGTATTGTTTTATTGATTTATATGGTTAAAGGTATAATATTTAAGAACTATGAATACCGCGTTTACTAAAAAATCAATGAACAAATAGAAGAAACAATAAAATAAGTTATAAGTTCAATTTCTTTAATAATGAAGTCGTTTACTGTTAATGTAATTTTCCGGCTACTGCTCATAGAAAACTATATATTTGATCAAAGAATACCTTTATACATATTTTATTACCTAAATTCCAAACACTTTTTTAACAATATTTGCCACAACTATAAAATTCGTTTAAAAAAAAAAAAATTATCAAACAGCCTATATTGTACCCATCAATGACATAAATACTACAAAACAGTTTTTTTTTTTATGAATAATTCAATTTGATACAATACGCCACAAAATAAACAGCTACTTTAATAATAATATACATTGACTACCAGTTTAGACCAAAGTCTAATTTCAACAGTCTTAAACGTTTTCTTTGTACTATTATACTAAACGAATACACAGCGTAAAAAATATTTACCTTATTGTCATGTACGGGTTAAATTAGTATACCGCAACAAATTGTGTAATAACATTTTGTTCGAAAAGAATGTCCAAACACGACGGTTTGGTCAGTTTTCTTTAGATACAAAGTACATTTCTACTTGTAATAAACTACAAAAAAAAAAAAACAATACATCCAATTGGCAAGCTTATTTATTTTTTAAAAACTATATTTTATTATAAAATTGTTAGATTTCTCTTAAATTATATTTAAATTGAATTACTTAATTAATTTGATTATAACTTATGGAATATGTTCGTATAAAAACAGTACACATAATTGTCGAAATGTAAAACATTATAGAAAATATATTATTATAACTATACACAAGGAAGTAACAATGATTAGTGTATAACATAGGCACAAATATTAGGCTAAGAAGGGTAACAATATTTGTAATGGAGTACAAAAATTTAAAAATAATTTATACATGAAATACAATTATATATATATATACACACACACACACATACATCCATATTACACATAATATGTCTTAAAATAAAACATAATAATGATTAAAAAAAAAAGAGGCACTACAATAATACAGTAAAATTATAAAACAATAAAAGTTATAACAGAGTAAATGCAACGCAAACAAAATAATTAAAGCAACGTCGATTCTTGTCGACAACCGTTTTGCGTTGTACACACACACACGTTGGCGTACAACCGATTACACGGTTTCATCGTGCAAAATAATCATTTTATTTTCACAAGACGACGAACTGTCTTCGTCCTCTGGATCTAAAATAATACTATCCATGTGTTGTTCTTTTTGATCCATATCGTCGTCGACCTCTGAATCTTGTTTCGAGATGACTCCGTTGTTACTCTCCTAAACGCACCAGTTTAAAAAAAAAAATATTTATGTTAAAATGTATTTAAATATATTTTTTTATTCTACTAAGTAATAAAAGAAAATTCAATTTTTACAGCATCTACTCTTAATGAACCCAAAACTCGACAAAGGCAAATTTTGGAATATTTTAAAAATAACAAAAGAAAGATGGCGTTTGTGGAAAAAAATGGTCTAAAGGAACGCGTTAAATTTGTGCGAGAACCTAAACGCGTTAATTTCGAGAGAAAAAAATGAGTGTGAACGGGTTAGTTAATTTTGGCATTGAACGTGTTTAACCTTTTAGTGAACGCTCCAAGTGCAAAGTCAAAAGTCAAATTAATTTAATACACAAATGTTGTTCATACCAGTAATTTTTGTTTCTGATGAGTTCTCACGTGCTTTTGCAAATGGTCACTACGCATAAACCGTTTGGGACACTCTGTGCACTGGAATCTCTTTTCTCCTGTATGCGTTCTGTTGTGTCTCTGTAATCAACCGTCGCCAATGGTTAATAAATCACAAATTTAAATGGGGTTTTCTTTCTTTAACAAATGTATAAGTCATTTGTGTACCTGTAGTTCGTCAGATCGAGTGAATCGTTTGCCACAGTGTTGCCAATTACAAACAAATGGTCTTTCGCCGGTGTGCCATCTCAAATGGGCTCGCAAGTGAGACGTCTTACCGTACATTTTGTTACAACCGGGTACATGACAAATATGTACTCTTTTGCCGGCGCCATTACTATAAAATTTCAAATTTTACTTTATTATAATAGATGTATTATTATAATATATTATAAACAATTAATATTGTTTTTTTTTTTTACAAACCGTTTCTCGCCGTCGCAACAGTTTGGACAAGTACAGGCAACTCTTCTTGTCCGTGGCTTTTCTTCACCCGGAGAATCGTACTCCGTACTCGCGCTCCCGTCTTGGAACACTGTTCCTGAGATAGGAATTATTTGCCACTTCTGGTCTAAATTTTCTATCGGCTGTCCAGAAGCTAAAACAACAAATTAAAAAACATCAATCATTGTCGCCCACGAGTTACAGACAACACAAATACTTACAGGCATTAATAACTTGTATATTTTGCAAGCCGGGTGGTAACGTTTGCGTTGCGTTTGTGGTATTTTGCTGTGCTCCGAGGGAAGTTATGATTTGAACCGTTCCGATCCCGGGTATATTTACGGTCTGCGGTTGGTTTGTGTTTTGAGCTGCTGGCATCTGTCAATATGAAAAATTATTAGTAAAAAATACCCTTGTTAAAAGTTCCAACACTATTGATGGTGAAAATGAAGCAATCTTACCTGAACGACATTGTTTCCTCTTATAGTAACACCATTGTTATTTTGTAAAAATTGAGGAATATTATTTGCAGGTATCACCGTAAGTTGTTGATGGTTGTCTAAAATAAAAACAGAACATTAGGCAAGAGAAAAAAACTTCAAACTATAAGCCCAATTTTCTAACATAAAAACTCAACTGAGCAGAATGATTTTTACTCGGGTCACGATTGTTTTAGAGCAAAAAAACAAATAATTGAAGATTACAAAATTTTGGAGACAATGACGGATCCATTTAACGAAATAATCCTTAGGAAAGTTATTACTATTTTTAAAAATTTGTCTTTTTTCAATATCAAGTATACTTTAACTAATGAATATATTGAAAAAAGGATACGTCATTTACTTAAAAATGCCATCATGTTTCGATTTGGTAATTGGTATTTCTGTTCTTCTAAGACCTTCCCAGATCGAGTAAATCGCATTCTGCGTAGCTTTGTTTAGGTTAGTAAAATAGTTAAAAATGTTACCCATGATGGTCAGATAGAATAATTGGTTACCAATAAAGAGTCATCATGACTAGTATAGACTAATGAATAAACATAACTGTTTTCGCTTAAAATTAATATTTTGCTAACAATTGCCTAAAGAGTGCTCCTAATTAAACAGAGGGCATAACGTCCTTACTTCCGATTAACTGCTGAGGTATGAGTTGTAGCGTTTGTCCAGATTGTGTTTGAATTGTAACTGGTTGTTGCTGCGAGCCACTCTCGTTACTACTCCCCGATGAATTTGGCGATGAATTCGCCTGAAAATGAAAGGGAAAAAAATTGAATAAAAACCAGTAGCCAAAATCCATTTTATACAAAAAAAAGAAACATTCAACTCACATGTATGATGTTTGGCGAACTAGCGGGAGAACTGGCATTCTGATACTGGTTATTAGGAGCATTGGACGTCGTGTTGACAATCTGTATTTGTTGTCCGTTGCCAATCGGTGATGCCAACTGCACCGTTTGTATTTGACCGTTTCCGGTAACAATTTGTGCCATTTGCGGAGACTGAGTCATTTGTGTCAACTGCGGAATTTGCATCAATTGGCCCTGGTTGCCTTGTATAATGTTTGGTATGGACGACGCAAATGACTGGAGAGGCAAATGCATGGTCTGATAAATAGTTTGCCCGTTCGACGATATCGGTACTTGTACGGATATAGTTTGTTGGACCTGAGGAAGCTGTACGACTTGTGGCATGTTGGATTGTCGCACGGATATGTTTTGACCTACAAATATGTTTAAATAGTTTAACATTATCAATTGACGTTTTAAACGTTTTTAATTTCTTAACAAGACATACCCGATTGCAATTGTATAGTTTGGAGTGGTCGGACAATCTGGCCGGTAGGTGTAAATATAGTCGGTGCCCCTTGGCCATGGTTTGAACCGCCTGGAATAAACAGCGCTTCTTGGCCATCGACTGTAATAGTTTGATTATTTTGTTGCTGAAAACATAATATTTTATTTTTTACACTGAATAATATAACGTGAAAATTGAAATTGAAATTAAACACACTTGAACAAACTGGCCGGGTAACCCTTGAACCGAGAAAATAGGTTGGATGGTCGTTCCGTTTGACGTGATTGTTTTTATTCCCTGGTTTTGTTGTGTCTGTGTCAATTGTTGTACTTGTTGGAGAGGTAACAAATTTTGTAGATTCGCCAGAGTGATAATTTGGGGTTGGCCACCGTGCACTTGGACAATAGTCTGATGTTGATCCTGCTGTTGTTCCTATAAACAAAATAGGAAACATTAGATTTGTATAATACTAAACAAAGATCTACTATTGGTACTCGAAGATTTGATTTTTTCAAAACTGAATACAACTTGGAACATATTAGACAGCTGGGAAAATCTATCATTATATTGTTGTTTAATTATTTTATAATTTACATACTGAAGCAACCCCCAAATTCTACAAATGAACTATATTGTAGTTGTTCTTAAACTGGAAATATAACTCTGGCTTGTCTATCTATCAAGTTTAGTTCAGCTTAACTGCAACTCTTCGAGGAAATTTCATTCTTTGAGCTTAATTTACAATTTTTTTCTAAATATTATCATGTGATAAGAGATTATATAATCGGTCTTAAATTAGTAGTTTATCATTAGATAGTTTTCCAAATAACTGTAATAGATTACAAAGCAGAGACATCATAACTATTCGGCTAACATGTCATTTCTACAAAATATAACAACATTGTCAACTGTATTCGTTTAAGACCCTTCGTATGGTAACAATTCCCCAACCAATCACAATGTCACTATTCTCTTGTTTCCTAATCAAGGAAACCTACCTAACTGTATATATCTATTTATCTTTAACAGTAAATACTTTCTGTTGAATAAAATTTAAAAACAATTTCTTTGTTATAAACATCATATTATGGCCAAATCAATTTTAGTTTACTATGTTCATTTCATTACTACGGTAAATAATTACTGCCAATGGTCTAAAAATTGAGCAGTTTAGGTTTAATTAGAATAACAACGAAATATAAATTTTTATCATATTATAACGATACAAAGTCAAAACTGAATAAATGAACATACAAGTGCGCTGTTTTCGGTCACTTGTTTGTGTTAAAATGATTTAAATAAAACATTTTAAATTTAAAATATCAAAATGTTTTATTAAAATCATTTTAACACAAACAAGATGGTCATCGTTGGCCTCTTGTTTGTCAATTTTTTTCTATAGGTATATTATCATTGATAAATAATAATAATTAATGATATTATCGCTGACCGACAACTGTTCGGTAAATCTACTCGACCTACGGACTACGGTGTCTTATCTGTCCAAAGTATTTTTTTTTTTCCAAAACCAATTTAACAAGATAAAATTACAACTACAAGAGATGATAATTTAAAATTTTTTCCGATTCGCCTACAGGTAAAGGTAGTAGCAGTCTATTCGGATTTGGGCATAATATAATAAACAACATGAATGAAAAAGTTTGATTTTTGAAAAGCCCAAGTCTGGGCCGTAACCGCGAAGGGGGGAGGGGGACACGGCTCGTACCCTAAGGCAGGTCGTTGGAGCGTGTCCCGTCCTTAAACGACGCCCCCCGTCCAAAGGTTTTCCCAACCTTCGAGACCGCGAACCAAAATCATAGCTCCTCCCTCTCATTAATACACACACACACGCGTACATACAAAATTTGGCGGGCTCTTGTCGATTTTCCAAAGACACGCATAATATCTTATCAATGTAATTAATAAAAATAATAATATACTCGACGTTTTGTTTACAGTTAATAATTATTATCTTTGAAAACGTCTACTTTCCGATAGGTAGGCAGGCTTACCTTGGGACTCTTGCACGGCGAGTTGCCGTCGTCGCTGCTGTCGCTCATCGATTCTTTGATTTCGGTATTTTGCTGATGTTCGTTCGAGTCCATTGCGTTCAACGATAATAATATAATATAATATATTATAAAAAAAAAAAATCTATAATATAATATAATATTTTTCTTTTCAGTCTAATATCGATTGGTGCGCGGCGATTGCCTCAACATTGCCATTGCACCGTGTAAACACATATAATGCGACGCACACGCACACTGCACGTACACACACACACACACACAGACACACACCAGAAATTCGATAATAATAATTAAACGATGATCGTGGAAAACGTATTAGATATTATTATACAACAAAAATAACAAACAACGGACGATAATAATAATAATATTATTATTTTATTATCAATCGACGGATACCGAAAAAAAAAAATCACCGATTTATTACCTTTTTTATTGTTATTATGAAAAACGACGTGAGGCGGTGTCGAAAAGCGGAGCCAGATATTGCGGACCAAACCCAAATGTCGCCCATTGGCAGTAGGCCTTGCTCGCCCTACCCTACCGACCGACGGTGGCACGCGTAAAAGGCGGCCGCTACGATAATAGACCGCGTACGGTATTTATCGTGCACGATAAAAAAAAAAACGTACACCATGCACACAGCAGCTGCCCGAGTTGCACCGCGTTTTTGAAACAACGCAAGTATTTTTTTTTTACATCACATCACGATTACCGTTGTAGGGTCGTCGGTGACGACGGCCAAAATATCTGCGTTATTATTTTGTAGGTATTGAAAATATGGAAAACGAAAAATAATTTCTTCCGATAAAATATCGAACCACGCCCGGATTCCGGAAGCGATGTTGGCAGCCCCGCCGAGCTGTGCTCGCGCACGATCACCGCGCCGCCGCACGGCACGCCAGCACTCGGCGGCCCTCGACCCGACTGCGGCGCGCATTGGTTCCCAACGTTGGTACTCTTGGTAGTAGTATAGTAGCTGATGTTTTCTACCCGAGAAACCCATCCAGTCCACGTGATAGAAACGCCAACACAACGCACAACACAATTTTGTGGACATTAGTAGAGGCATAGAAAAAACAATAATATCTACCGAGCAAAATTATTACAATTTATTTATACAGCCCAATCCTATAATTTTCGTATTTTCGTTAATATTTCAAACGGCATTTGTTTTCGAATTGAAACCGTACGGCTAACGAAAAATAGTTAGTTGAAAAAAAAAATTCCGACGAATTTGTAGATGTTTTAATCACTTTTGTCTTTATTTGATGTACCGTTATATTTGATCCGTAGACCGTCCAAACAGTCAACGGTCTTTTTCTTTTTTAAACTTGCGTTGTAAGCAATGCGTACAGTAATCATTAATAGTATGTATACAGCCGTTCACCAGTCACGACGTTCGACAATAATAAAAACCCATTTACAGCGTATTATTATAATGAGTGTTGTCCGTCGACTGTGGGCACCGTTATAGAATAAATATTTGGAAACCATTGTCGGGCCGCATCAGGTTGGCAACAGTGCGGTCGGCTTTCTAAAAAATTACCGACTCGACGGCCGACAACTGGCTGGTGGGCGGGGGCGCGGAGGCGGTCAACGTCACGCAATGCACACGGCCCCGGTCGCCCTTTCGCCGGCGTCTATGCCCCGGGTGACCCACACCCACGGGTGTGTGCCTAAACGCGCCGACCACCCACCGCCCTTTGCCACCGCACCGTAGATGGGAGGGAATATTGTTCGCGAGGCGTTTCCCGGGACCCCGGTGTGTGTGTGTGTGTGCTGTAAGCAAGGGAACCGGAGTACATGCCGTCGCGTCGTGTGATTTTATTCGGCGTTCGGCCACCTGGCGCCGACGACGCTTGTCGGCGGCTCGGCGAGCCACTTGCCGAACGTCCCGTTTTTCTCGAGCCTCAATGGTACACACTCGCCTTCGACTTTCGTGCAGTATACTTGTCTATGCTTCCGAGTCCAGATAAGCCTCTAAACAGTTTTAGTGTCTAATCCAATACAAATTCGTGTTAGTCGTAATTGTTATTTGTTCCAAATTTTAATTATATTTTCAGTACCTAGCAAATTTAATGAAGTGCATAATTAGATTTTTTCTTAAGGGAGAGTATATATGCATTGACAAACATTTCATGGACCTCAATTTAATTTCCCTCCCTCACCCCAACCCATCACTGACACATCTAAACCAGAGTTGGTATTCTAAATTAGAAAACAGGTGGACATCAAAGACATATTATATTAAGTAAACAGTTAATTAAGTACGGAAAACAGCTTTCTAGATGAACCCCTCTCTCTCTAAATACGCCACTGCCATGGGACGGAGTAAATCTCTAAATGATACTTTTACGTTGGTAATAACTTATATAATTATATATACATTACCTATTTTGAAAACAGGATTCAAAATAGTTTTAGTTTTTTTTTTAACATGCAAAGGCTTGAGCACAGAACACTTGATAGGTAATAAATAATGTCTAAAAAAAATGTGTATATATTTATTTACTATATACCTAATAACAACATTACTACAGCGCTTCAATCATAATAATACACGATGTATTGTTATTTAGAGGATTGGTGAAATAAGATGGGGGGGAGGGGGAACAATGATGTAATGAAATTATGATAAATCAAACTTTTGTCAAAATCGTTTTCAAATAATTAAATAATGTACTTACTATCTTTCAGAGGGGGAGCACATTCGTTCCCCACCAAAACCCCGATGGCCCTATGTTCTATATAAACCTTTTTTCATGATAGAATGGTTTGTACCTATAGTGTTAAGTGTTGACATCAATCTTTAACCAGGACTGTGTGTACATTCTCCCCTACATAACAACTCGTTTGCCTTTCACCGTTGACAAATAAAAATATATTCGATTACCTACCTAAAAATGGACTAGAGAAATTAGGCACAAAAAAATGAACATTCAATGGACATTATTGTACCTATAACAATTTCTAAATATCATATGGATAATAAAAAAATTCCTCAAGTCATTTTTTCAACATATTCACAAGAAAAAAACATACAATTTCTAAATCTAGTAGGTACTTTACTTTCGCTGCGTTAGCCTGAGAACTGAGAAGGTATACCTAAGTTTTACAATAATGTGTTTTTTTTTGTCTGAAGTCACGATCATTTTTTTTCCAGTGGACAGATTTTTTTATGTATCTACGTATTGTTCTCTATTGGGCCAAACATTTTTAAATCTCACCTCTTCCCCTTCGAAATCAAGAAAAACACCCAAAAAATTTGAATATTTTTAAACTTAAAACCACGGAAAAAATTACAAAATAGTCGAATCCGACGGATTGAGTAAACGAAAATTTAAAAAAACGCTCAGGCACAGATTAAGTTTTTGGAAAAATTTGGTGATTTTCACAACCATAATTCAAGTCACTTTGGTTTTTATTCGCGCACATCTATTTTGATGGAAAACAGTTGTAATTTGACAACAACTGGTACAATAGTCATTACTGTATTTATAAGAATACACTACAGTTTTTAAGCTCTAAATTAGGATTTTGCCAGTTAATGGGTGCGTACCATCGTCTTAAGACAATTTTATATTTTTTTTAATACCGTATAACGCATATTTTTATACAGTACACTCTGAAATAATCATTACACGGATAGATCGATTAATAAGTGAGTTATGACAATATAGGAAGTAATCAAAATAATTTGTAAATGGTATGGGTACTTTTAAAAACAAATTTAAATAATAGTTATAGTTTTTACCTGGATGAAATAAATTATTTTTTATTTTCCGATGGAAAATTCTAAACAATGCTTTAAAATTGAATGAGTTCTTATTTGTAAATTATATAATTTACCAATATTTGTACCTTTCATTAGAATATTGTCCAACGTTTTATTTTCTAAGTAAATATAATATAGATAGGTACGCATCTTTGATGTGGATATTCAAGTTCAGCCTTATGAATTTTTCAAAAATATTACATTTTTCTAGTTAAAAAAAACCGATTACACTTAGTTGTAGGAAAACCACGAGCTCCTTAAGGTGTGCTATGAGTAATAACTAATGAATATACTTACCTTTATAAAATAGTTGCCCATTTTCAACGTCTGAGAAACAACTTTTACTCCCACTAACTTGTTCTCTAACGATACTGGTTTGTATTGTGCACCTTTAAACCGAGTTATTCTTTTGGCACTCATTTACAAAAAAAAAAAAACAAAAAAAAATGTCCAAATTACAACTTGCACATCCACTCGTGAAACACTGTATTATGGGGCAATTCACGATGAAAGAATGAAGAATCGCTGGGCATTAGTATATAAGAATAAAAATAGATGTTTTCTTTGATAATATCATTTTTTTGAAAACAACCGTTGTGTTCTATGAATGCCATTAGGGGTGGGTTAACAATTGATACACATAGTTTTGCTGTTGATAAATAATTGTTATCAAAATAATATGTCACAATTATAAATGACATCCTGTGAACCGGTATCCGCGGGCTAAATTTAGATTTAAACTGAATTAAAGTCATCAAAATAAACCTAGGTAAGTAGATAATATAGAGATAATGTAAAATTACCCACCCGTGTTTCTTGTAATCCTTTTTTGTTTGGAGGTCCTAAAATATGATTGCATCGATACCTTTATTGATTATTATAGACTACAAATGTAATTAACGAATATACCTATAACACCCAAATAATAGTGTATAATATCTGTATTGATTCTGAAACGAAAATTTGAAACATGCAAATAACCTAATCAAAGTAGTATTAAAGTAAGTTATTGGACGTCTTTATCATTAAAATATAATTAGTATTTTATTCGTTTTCATTAAATATTAGATATTATGATATTTGTATTGATTTTAGATTCTGAAATAAAGATTTAAAACTTGTACCTAACTAATTAAATTCACATTTAAAGTTCTTCGATGGACGGATTAGGTATGAAAAAATAAGAATTAATATTCGACTATTTTTCATTAAATTATGTTAAATACCATAAAAGATACATTAAATGGGATTTACAAATTAACATATTTTTAAAACATTTAAATTTTATACTAAATCTCCAATTATGCTTTTAACCCTACCCCAGACAGCATAATGATTAATTACCAATGCTGATACAATATATACATTTATATTCACATATTATCACAATTAATTATCTTATAATATATGTGTAAACTTCACAAAAATGCTTTACCCGTTACCTGTTGAATTTTTTATCAATATAGATAGTAGCACACATGACTGCAGCAATAAAACATTGGAAAATAATGTGATGTCTGTTTAGTTTATTATAAAAACACCTTACTTTATTAATTTGTTTTTTTCATGAACCTGCATGACCTTTAAAAGGGCATCAACTAACTAGTCTTTTACAAGTTTATGATAATAGATTTTTTTTATTGAGATTTTTCATAAACACAATAATTCAACTCTAGGATTATATGACAAATTTAAACAAACAAAAATAGATTGGAACATAAAATTACAATAGTATTTAGTACAACA